TATCTGTTTTATCGACTTTGTACGTGCGTTGGTACACCTGTACCACCGACTAGGTATAGAATAGACCTATCATCCTATGCTTTTTTCTGTCCCACGTTCGCAGGGCTACGTAGCCCTGTTACCATTTTAGTGTCAATACCCGACGTTACCGATAAAGCATGAATTCTGAGTATTATCACAGACGAGATATAAGAATAGATCTATGTACATGCAATGTAATTTTCTGTCCCATGCTTCGAAGGCATCAGAAGCCCCCTTACCATTTGAGCGTCAATACCTGACGTTACCGATAAAGCATGAATTCTGAGTATTATTAGCACAAATGAAGTGTTATATATTCCATTCATATTGCGTGTATCTATATGATTTGACTGGAATAAAAATATCCGATGCTTCAGTTTAAGGTATAATATGATAAATAATATAATAGGATAAATATGACAGTCATGAAACATGAAACGGAAAAGTATATATTTTTTCACTTAACTACAAGACAATTTATTCTAAATGTATGTGAGGCCTGGGCAATCGGTATTATCTTCGGTAAAGTACTGTAAACTGAAGACAATATCGAGCTAATGGCTGCGAACTTCGAATCTATCTCATAAAACCACGTTCTATATTACATCGAACTAGGATTATTTTAGAAATCGATATGAGATTCAAAGTGTAAAAATATCTAGTACTTTGAATGTTTTAGAAAATTATTCGAGATAAAGATGTATGGAACTACTGAAAATTACTTTAGATTCTTTTTCCTTATTCTGTAAATTCTTTGATTAGAATATGATTAAACTTTTTTTTAAACGATTCTTTGATTAAAACTTTTTGAAGTGTTACAGTGATATTTCGTTACATGTTCCATAATGTCAATAATATTGATTTCCCCGCAACATTTATAATTATTACGAATGTCAATATAACGAAATATCTTTTATGCGATGTTTGTGGTGTAATAAAAATCTGTGTTTCTATTACGTTTTTGATACATATTACTCACTTATATGTAATAATATAGAATAAAAATATACTGTTAGTCCGATATTTGAAAATATACATGCGTTCGTTGTCACTGTTAAACTGTTGTAATAACAATGGAATAGTGAAATAATTTACTCAAATGTACATAATAATACATATACATATTCATAAAAACAATATTAAACGCAATAAGTTTTTTGTACGCGAAAAAAAACCAATTGGTCCGTCGGGACTGGAAACCAAGACTCCTTTCTAATACGTCTACTTTACAGCGAACGGACGGAAGAGAATCCGTTCACGACTATGGTCCGTTCGATGATTTTCCGACGTACCGAACACTCATGATCTGACAACATTGCGTACTTTAGACTCGACAATACTGTAGAAGTTAGACTAGTTGAGCTCAAATGGATTTAACGTAATTCACAAATTTACCGTTCTCATAACATAGAGGGCAGCAGAAAATCCCTGACTTTTTACACAATCGGTATTTCAGAACATGAGACACGAAGTCCCATAAAATGATAGATCTATCCTATACCTAGTCGGTGCCTGTACCCTGATCTGCCAGCTGACTACATCGTTTTTTTCGTTTTTTATAGTAATTAAGTACCACCAAATGTTGTAATTAGGCCACCAATGACCACCAAACGATTACGCATCGATTGGGTATAATGAAAAGTTAAAAAGTTAAAGTTGTCCGGCTAACTTCACAGAGGTGGCATTACATGCGTGCAGCATCCCTTCTCCCCATCGCCCACCAGTCGCTTTCTCCCCTCCCTCTGCGATGTGGGAGCAAGAGAGGAATGACTCCATCGATACTTCTGTCCTTCGGTCTCGCTGGGTCTCGCTTCATCCCTATCATAAGACCGCTCAGTCTATTAAGTCTATTATATGTCTATGCATTTAACAACGAAAAGCATAACTAATTGCCTAGAAGCTGAAGCATTTTTCTAGAAGAGAATTCGCGTTTTCAAAAACAAATGGTCTTCACCTTCCTCGTCTGCTCAACAGCAACCCCAATACACGGACTACATCACAGCCATCGACAAACTTTGTCCTGCCTGGGTGCCCATAAATTCGACATGCCACACTGGACCTTCAACCTGTCAATCTCTTGACAATAAATTCAGCTTTCAAGAACTCAACATCGCCATGAAGAGGATCAACACCAAGTCGTCACCTGGAATGGATGGAATAGAGAATAACATGATTCTTATGCCCGTCAAATGAAAATTAGTGCTTATGGAAATCATTAATGATCTCCTGGCATTAAACCTCTTTCCGGAAGAATGGAGAGAAAGCAACATTCTCTTCATTCCTAAAGCCAACAAAACTGGCTTACGTCCCATTGCACTTACCTCTTGTACGTGCAAATTAGTTGAAAGGCTGAGTAATCGCAGAATGTTTTGGTGGCTAAACCACAAAAATCTCCTTTCACCGACACAAACAGGCTTCCGTAGACATCACTCTACCTCTGACAACATTTCCAGTCTAGTCATGCTTACAGATATAGCCTCCTTGCATAAACTAACCACAGCAGCAGCCTTTCTAGACGTCAATGCAGCTTTCTATAATGTTTTACCAAACATTCTAATCAATAAGCTTTCAGCTTTAGGAGTTCCTATAAACACACGTATCTTCATTCACAAGCTCACAAATTTCAGGAAAGCACATTTCTTTATTTCAGATGATTCAGGCAGTCCATTACATCTTATACATTACCATCCACAAAGGGGTCCCTCAAGGTGGTGTCCTCAGTCCTCTCCTCTACACCATCTACACATCGGACATAGATAAGGGTATTCCTTCTCATACCACAATATTGCAATATGCTGATGATACTGCTGTGCTCTGTTCCTTGGGTTCTTGTCAACAAGTCATCACTACCATTGAAAATACAACCCTTCAGGTACAACTTAATCTCTGCCAACTCGGCTTAGATCTGGCCCTAAGCAAAACCGAATTTATAGTTTTCAACAGTAAAAACCACCCACCTGGCTCTATCACAATTAACATTGCCAACACTTATATTTACAACTCCCAATCAGTAAATTTTTTAGGTGTCCGCATTGACCAAGACTTAAATTTCCATCAACACATTAACTCTATCTGCTCTTCTGCTCAAAAACTTCTAAATATAATCAGGTATCTAAGAGGTACCTGGTGGGGTACAGATCCCAAAACTTTAATCATTATTTTCAAAGGTTTAATCCGCTCAAGAATGGAATATTACCTTCCTTTCATTTTTCCTAAGTATTCATTCCTGAAGCAGAAGCTTGAAAAAATTCAACTCACTGCTGTTCAGCTCGCTTTAGGCCTCAGGAACTCCACCCCTAATAATGTCTCACTAGCTGAGGCTAAACTTCCTCTTATAGAACATCGAGCCCTATTTTTAGGTCAAAAATGCATCACTAAAATCATAGCTAACCCTTCTCACTTTTTATACAACATTATCTGTAAATACCATAGTTCCTTTAATAACCCTATTGCAGCTAAGTTACCCAACCCAGACTATTGGCCCATATCATTGGGAAGGTCTGGAATAATCGAGATGTCATAGCAAATAATTTATGCCAATTCATTCCTCTTGATCTATCTTTAGTTCTTTACCACGCTGCTGACTGTGATCTAGAATCTGGTCTTACACTTAAGCTCAGCTCTGACATAAACACAGATTTTCTCAAAATAATTACCACAAAATACCCGGGTCTCACAACAATTATCACAGATGGTTCCAAAACCAAAGAAGGACATGCTGTAGGCGCAGCTTGGTTCTGTCCATCTCTTGCTAAAGCTGAGTCCATCAGCTTGAACAATCTTGCTTCAGTTTTCACCGCAGAAAGCATAGCCATTAACAGAGCTCTAGACTTTACGTTAGAACACCCAGGCAAATCCTTCCTCATATGTACAGACTCTCTGAGCGTTTTACAATCCATCAGCAACTCCTTTTCCCTACACAAAAACAGATACATACTAGACACCAAAAAGAAATTATCCAGCATTACAGATTCCAGCCTTTCCGACAGATGTATCAAATTTATGTGGGTACCCTCGCACGTGGGACTTGCAGGCAATGAAGAGGCCGATATTCTAGCGAAGGAAGCCACTTCTAATTTGCCTCATCCACTTTGGAAAATTCCAGCCCAAGATTTCAATGAGCTATATAGAAAGGAAATGTGAGACAGATCCTTCGATCTTTGGACTTACAAAGCATCCGCTGTTAATAACACGCCGACTGGACAAAAATACTTTCAACAATTCTTCGATATGGACACAACACCCTGGTTTGATCGCTACACCTTAACAAGATCCATGACCGTTTCAATCTGCAGAGCCCGTTCGAATCATTACAACTTAAATGAGTCCTTACATAAAATCAATCTTGTTAGCAGTCCACTGTGCCATTGCGGTCTCTCCGCGCAAAATTTAAACCATGTGATATGGCAGTGCTCCCTATTAGAACGTCATCGAACTACATTAATTAGAAACCTCAAACGATGTGGATGGCAACTACCTTTATCTCTTGATATGTTTCTGGTCAAACCTCGCGTGAAAGAATTACAATTAATTCAAAAATTTCTTATTTATAACATTAACATATAAAATTACTGTACATATTTGATTATTCCTGTAATATTTAGATCCATGGGCTTGAGTAAAGCCTAGGGTCTTCAATAAATAAATACATACATACATACATTTTAAAGAATTATGTAAAGCGTCAATTAAAAATACTGGAACATACAAATTATATTCCCATAAATGCATATTGTATGCAGCTTAACCCTTAATGACTGTGACTGACAATTAATATGTCTGGCGTATATAGTGATTCTAGAGAAGATAGATGAACAATTAACTGAAAATATTTTATTCTCAGTCAGATAAAAAGACTTTTGATACATATCAATATAAAAGAGATTTGTGAATCTTTACTATTTTGTAAGTCACGCGGTATAGAAGCACCATCTTACGGGTTATTTCAAGTTTATCAAGTTCGTGTATATACATAACGGAGAGGGCAGAGGGTGTTCACGGTGTTCATTAGTGTTCGCTTTTATTCGCTTTTCTGACAGTAGCCAACAGTAGCATCCAGAAAGGAAAGAATAGCTAATAAAAACACGCTGCTGGCACAGGCCTCGTCATGGACGATTTACAGAATTATAAACTGCAGCTTCAGCAGGTGAAAATTTTTTTCTTTGCTTAACCTTATCGCAAATGGTGGAATGGCGAGTCCATTTTTGGCAATTCTCCTGTTGTTTACGGGCTCATTGTGACAAATGAATTTTGGTTTTCATCGATTCAGGTGGAAGCGGCGCTCACTACGGATCCCACAAATGAAGAACTCCTGAAACTGAAAATTGATCTCGAGGAAGTAATAGAGCTAACACATGATCTAGTTAAATCACAACAACAGGAAAAAAGGCAAGCCAATGGCATGGATGCTAAAGATCCTATTTTACTTGCAGTTCTGGCCAATAAATGGAAGGTCGGTGACCAATGCATGGCACCGTGGAGCGAGGATGGCAAGTAAGTAATCCATAAAGTTAACACTTGTACTTAATAACTAAAGTGTAAATTCTATGCATTCATAATTGTCGATAAATCGATGCAGCAAATAAATAAATCAAGCCTACCAAAATATCTCAGTATTTGGAACATGTATTTACATAAACATTAGCAGTCTACCAATGAATAGGCTACAGATATTTATGCATTTATATCATACGTGATTGTCTATAAATCAATAAACAGTATCAGGTAAACATTGTTCTCTATTTCTTTTCTTATTTAATCTCTTCAGGTTTTACACTGATAAATCTAAAAGTAATAGTATATGATTATAATTTTAAGTTCAACTGTTACATTTAGGTAAAGTCAACAATGATGAAAATATTAATCACTGAATTATAGTTAACCCAGGAGTAGGCACGCATTGATCTTTCCAATCGACGATTTTATGTGTTAAAGTATGATCCAAAGTCTTCCACTGTTGCTGCAGGCATGATCTGTCTTGTTTACGTCGCAAGGTGATTGAGGTGATGCTCTGTGCACATACCTAAGTTATAAAAGACAACATTGATCTTTTTGATCATAGAGCGTCTACTCCCGGGTTAATAAAAAACAGCATACCCCTCATTGTTGTCATATACTTTTTCAGATATTATGAGGCAACCATAGATGCAATAAGCGAAGAAGGTGTTGTTAATGTAACATTTAATGAATATAAAAACACAGATGTCACAATGCTCAGTCAATTAAAGTCAGTAGCCAAAAGGCCAGCATCAGACTGGGCAGATCAAAAATCAAAGTAAGTAATTCATAAAGTAGCTCTTAATATTTCATTTATATATTACTGGTTTAGTATTAACATAATCCCCTAATTTCAAGTGCGTATCACTTTTTGGGATACATTCTGGGTTATCTTAAGTTTTATAGGAAATAATAATCACTAATCATTGACTTTTCTCCTTACTCCTTTATCCCAAATTGGCCATGATAATTACTCCACTGTTTGGTGTGCCTTGATCTGAAATTCCATTATTGTTCATTTGTCTTGTGGTATTACACTATCTGTGTACATCGCCGGACACCAGGAAAAGGTAACACGAACTAACAAATTTTTGTTGAAATATTGAAAATATGTATATATGGTTATATTTTGTAGTACCTGAGCCAAATTAAATTGAAAGTTAAGTACAATAAATAGGGTTTTTACAATTGCATAATAGAAAATATACAGTGAGATTTAAAATAACACATAAGATTAACAATTGAGCGAATTTATAGCTGTAATTTACAGTCATTAAAATTGTTTGGACATATTAAATAAGTGTATACATTTACCGACATGTATTAAATTATTAACTCCTTTAATATACAATTTAAACGGTGTTTATGATACTTAATATTCATTTACTTACTTCAAAATCCCTAAAACTTTTTACATTTGGCAAAAAAAGTAATCATGTAGCAGTATGATCTGGAGATAAAAATGCATTTTTAGTGAGTAATACTTTTATTAATTTGCAGAAAAATGCAAGCAGCTGCTGTAGCAGGTTCAGATCCTAATAAACAGAGAGAATATCTTAAAAAGAAGAAACAAAGGAAACTTCAGCGATTCAAAGAGCTTGAAGAAGAACGTGAAATGGAGAAGAACAAATGGCTAGCATTTACAAACAAGGTAGTACTGGTAAACAGTTTTATTCATTTACGAATGATCCAATTACTCATAATTCATTTTTTATCGCAGTCTTCGAAAAAAGGTGTAATTAAAAAGAGTATATTTGCCACACCAGAAAACGTAAACGGCCGAGTAGGAATTGGCACGTGTGGTGTGAGTGGTCGAGAAATGACCAAATTCAGTAATGGAGAAAAGTGGAGAAGAGGAGCATGAATATTATTGTAAATACGCAAATTAATATTTGGTGAGATAGAACTATTAATTATTGTTATATTACCTTGAATCTAGTTCTAAAAAACACTGGAAAAAAAGCGTATGTTTTGTTTTGTGTGAATGTTTTGACAGAGTACATGAATGAAAAGTGTGTAGCTGTATTTTCAGACTGTGTGTTAGACGTTATGTTACGAACGAACAATGACCTCAATAAATTCTGAAATTATCTGGATTTTCTACCTTCATGAAATGAATGACTGTCGTAAATGAATGTCTTTCTAGGTTAATACGTTTATGTGGATATGCTTTGTTTATAACCTATAAATGATACGAATAAATGTATATTTTAAAACCAAATTATGTTTATTAAATTCTTTCATAGAATAATCTGTGACCACCAAATCTTATATACATTGTAAGTTTTTCATTAAATTCAATTAGTTTGTTTCTCACTACTTTATCATTTATTCATACATAAATCGTGATAACAATAGTAGTAACGACTAAATTAAACAATTGTATACAGAGTGTCTCCAAGTAGCTTCAACTCCCGGAAATGAGGGGTTTCTGGGATGATTTGAAACAACTTTTTCCTTAGCAAAAATGTTATCCGAGGCTTAAAAACCCTAACCAATCAGAGCGCGAGTCTGCCGGCCGAGCTCCCGCGGTAGCGTTGGCTCCAATCGCAGCGCCTAGCTATTATATATATGTATGTAAATATGTATATATATATATAATACGTTAGAAACATCAAAAATAGTCATTCTATCTGATTCCATCTGATTCTATCCAATTCTATCGTGGAAAACACGTCACCACTAGGTGATACATTTACGGCGATAAGACTGATATAAGAGATTAATTGAACATAGCAAAAAAAATGAATTCACGAAGTCACGATAGTACTGTGAAGGACTAAATAATATAATAATCACTGCTTCATTTAAGCAGATGAATCGTATACTAACCTATCCTAATAAAGAGTAACAACAAACATTAAATATATTCAACATTTTTTCTTTGGTTTGACATAAAGTTACTTAATTTTTGTTTTGTTAATCTCATGTCAGCTGTAAAATTGTACTTCAAAAGTGTTAAGTAATGCTTTATATTTATTATAAACTACTGTGTAAAGATGAAGAATTTTAGACAGAGCTTTATTTGTCTACCAATATATTGTATACTACATTTACAAAGGCGGAATTGAAGAAATAAGACTGATATTGTTAATAAAAGTAGTCAATTGTTGTACAAAGCATTTATATGAATAAAAACATGGAGACCAATGAAAGAAATCAAATTACAAATGGGGATGCCACAAGCAATAGAGACATTGATTGGTCCAAGTATGGCTTGCATAATGCAGAAACTCAAAGAAATAATGAAATGAGAAGGAATAATGGAGAGTACGAAGAACTTGGACCGGAAATGTATCAGACTGGAGCAAACGAGTTATTTGCACAAGAATATGTGAGTGATTGTAACAAGAAAAGTAATACTTATAATTTTCTGTTTATATACCTTCTAGAGTTCTGATCCTTGGTGGAAATCAAACTTTTTTATCTCCCAACCTGTATTATTTGGAACTTGGGATGGTGTATTTACATCTTGTCTTATAAATATCTTTGGAGTTATTGTGTTCTTAAGATCAGGCTGGATAGTAGGACAAGCTGGTGTTCTTAATGCAATTCTAATAATATTATGTACAGGTAAAAATAACAGTCGTCAATAACAATTAAATTTAGAAACATGGAAAAGTTTATATATTTTGTAAATCTTTCAGTGTGTATTGCATTAGTAACTGTATTGTCTGCTGTGGGAATATGCGAGCGTTGTCGAGTTGAAAGCGGAGGAGTTTATTTTTTACTATCTCATGTGTTGGGATCAAGATTTGGTGGATCTATTGGATTACTATACTGTTTTGGACAGGTAATGTAGTTTATGAAAGGAATAACATTATTTACCGCATTTCTGTTAAACATTGTTTTAGGCGGTAGGTTGTGCACTCAATGTGTTAGGTTTCGGAGAATCTATGGCTGGTTTGGTACACTTAGAATCCGCATGGACAGAACGTGGATTTGCTTGTGCAGCTGTTATCTTGTTGTCTATTATTAATGTAGCTGGTGTCAAGTGGGTCATAAAACTCCAATTTATTCTCTTGTTAATTTTACTTCTTGCTGGAGTAGACTTTACGGTTGGAAGTTTTACTCATGTGAATAGTGGTAAGACGAGATACTTTGTGCTTTGTAATATTGTATACTTAATTCAACACCTATATAATTCTATAAACATTGTAGAGAAAGGGTTCGAGGGCTGGTTATCAGGAAATTTACAAAATAACACGTTTCCCAACTATCAGAATGGATATAGTTGGTTCACAGTTTTTGGTGTATTTTTTCCTACAGTAACAGGTGTTTTAGCTGGTATTAATATGAGTGGAGACTTAAGACATCCATCCACTGATATTCCTAATGGTACCTTAGCTGCCGTTGGAACTGGGTAGGTTTCATGACTACATATTTAAGAAGAAGAATTAAACAGATATGGATCATAATGTACATATCCATCATAAATTTGGTACTAAACTTTTCATCTACTTTCAGAACCCTTTTATATTTATGTTTTACCATGTTTCTTGCGGCAACTTGCACTCGTAACGCACTTCTGACGAATTTTATGATTGCATCGACGGTGTCAGCGTTTTCAGTATTGTTATTGGCTGGTCTTTATGTGTCATCATTTAGTAGTTGTCTGGGTGCTATGTACGGTACACCCCGTGTTCTTCAGTCCATTGCTAGTCAAAATGTTATACCAGGAATGAGTTGTTTACAAAGAGGAGTGAGTCAAGAACATTTTGAATTGAGTTATTCGACTATTCAGTTATATAATAATAAAATAAAATAAAATTTCTAGAGAGGACCGAACAAAGTACCTGTATATGCGATGTTAGTGGTCGCTGTTGTTACATTAACGTTCATTATTACTGGCCAGATTAATACACTCGCGCCAATTGTTACAATGCCTTTTCTCCTGACCTATGCGTGTTTGGATTATGCGTATTTCGCTCTTGCACAAACCTTTGATATACAATTGATTCGGGAACAAAGGTTTCGAACACAATCTCCAACATTTGACCGAAATTACAGCTCTGCGAGTAGAAATAACTCATTACCAGATGCGGACAATGATTTGGATAGCTTGTTTCCTGAAAGAATAAGACATAAAAATCTCGTAAGTATATGCAATTGTTAAATCATTGTGTTAAAATAATAAAAGATTAATTATCAAATTATAGAGGAATCCAAGCATCTCTGAAAATAACGTGTACATAGACTCCTCGCCAAGCATCGATGAAAATGTTAGCCCTGCAGATAATTCTGAGCGAAAAATTCACATCCACAATAAGTTAGGAAACTGGTACAGTCCCTTTTGTAACAGATGGCTTTCATTGTTAGGTGTAAGTTTCCATGTATGTTCCTTAAATATTTTTTGTAAACATAGTTTTAACGAGTACTTATTTTACAGTGCCTTATAAAGTTACTTATAATGTTTCTTGTTCATTGGGGCTATGCTATTGCCAATATCGTCGTTGTTTTCCTTGTATGGAGTTACGTTGGTCATGCTAATCCCGCTGTTAAACCTGGAGTTTCATCGGAATTTAAATTCTTTAATTGGCTAAAGACGTCACTATTGAGGCTTATGGGGTAATCAATATTTGAAACATAATAATTTACTATATTTTAAAGAATATCTTAACATTTTTCTACCCGAAAACGTATTAACAAACTTTTCGGTTGTCAATACTTAGCGACCGTATATTAAGTAAATTTACTCGCTATTATTCCATAGGTGAACTGTTAAGAAAATTGCAATACTGTTAACTTTTATTTTAGGAGGACAATTTATGACTACGAACAAATTGTTGTTACACCAGTCCATCCAGGAGTCGAAACATGTTCAGCTCAGCTGAATGAAGAGAACGAAGATTTCGCTGGTAGACGCAGATATCATCAGACAGCTACAGTTACAGGTCAATATGTGAATATTGACTAAAAGCGGAAGACTGTAGAATACGTAAAAGAAATCTAATTGAAGAGAGACACATAGTTGAGGCGGGAAAAAATTGCAAAAAATCGCACTAATTTATGTTTTAGTATAGAGTAAAAAGAGCGTTACAAATTATTAACGCTGCTAACCGCACAAGACTAGTCTAACCAAACTCATTTCATATTTTAGACACAAGGAATTTCTTATACAGTGCGACATAGTAGCTTTAAGAAGACAAACAGTTTGTAACAAGAATCTGTTGTTACAAAACATTTTCTAACAATTTACACTATGTGCATCAGACGCAGTTGGAACAATGTTCTACCACAAACATTTCTAAAATGAAGGGGTCCATTCATTCCTCCATTCAAATTATTTTGATACTTGTATCTTGTTATGTGAGATTATTTATACTTTTATAGCCCTACTAACAAGTGTGTAAGCGTAGTGAGGATTAAATCATATCATAATTATTAAGCAAATCTATCTGTTAAGATATTTCAGATACGATTATATTGCGATATCATAATATTTATAATAAATACTCTGTAAATATGTTGTGATAATATATTTATATGCTATTTAACATTTCTAATGACAAAACATACAAATATAGATTAATATACAACATAGTTTGAATTTTTATTCATGTGTGACTGTACCTGTGTACTTGTATTGTTGGCCGAGAATCGATGTCGGCGTCTTTCGGGACTGCGAGGGAAGAAGGGTAAATAATTGATAATAGTAACTAAATGGATAATAACTGAAACCTCAAATATTCATCACCTCGAGTCAAAGTTTGAAACGTTTCATATCATAAGTCAAGCATATTATCATTTCCATAAGTAAATCATCCAATATTAAATATTTTAAAAGTTCTACAAAGTTTATATTACATACTTACAAATTCTCATCCTTGAACTAACAATACTAAACAATAAGTAACAACATTAAACACGAAATTCCGCAAACAGAAAATATATTTGAAAATAGGTTACGAATAGATTTATATAGAAGTAACACAAAATAAATCGCGTTTGAATATTCGAACTTTACCGAAATTTTCCGATCATTGTCGAATGGCCCTTTAAATTAATTGGGTAGTTTCATGGACCCATGGTCGAATAGGTCTATGAAGTTAGCACCCCCAAATGCAAAATTTTATGAAAAACCAACAGTATCAGCAGAGTGCACTACAAATTTAGCCTCACAAGATGGCTGACGGTCGATTCCCCTTCCGTCTTTCGGCACACCCCCACAGAACAAGGCACTGTCCTTTACGTTCATGGTAATTTCATCTCTTTCTAAATCTAGAGTGTCGCCCCTTATTATATCTCCTCTTTGTATTGTTGCGGCCTTTTCCAGGGATTTATTTTTCAAGAAAAATATCAGACGTGAATCCTCGCCCGTGGAGTTCTAAAGAACTCTGCTCGTAAGAATATCTTTTGACTTCCTTTTTAAGAGACAACTTTATTTAAAGAATACGTCTTTATTTATTGAAGGTCAATATTGGAATGGACTCCTTTGCAAAACGATCGTTTTTGTTACATTTTGTTAATTACAATATGTCCTTAGATACCAGGAGCCAATAAAATAATTATTAAATTATGAAATAATTCCTGATTTGTTAATACATTTCTTCTAGCTATTCATTTTATAATGTTCAAGCGTTTAACATATTTGCCATGATTTAATATATTTTAGAGAAGGAGTAAAAGTGAAATTCGACTGTTAAAATATAATATAAGTTAAATATAACTTCACTTCTATCTCCTTTTCTAATTACAATCATATATCTTAATTTGAATTTCACGCTTGTGAAGCTTACGCTAGACGCCGTTACAAGATGAGGGCGAGATTCACAACAGTATCATTGTCTCTTACATGCTCTAACTCACACAGAGACGCAGCGCCATCTACACAAAAATTACTTCTTTTTTGAACCTTTTTATTAACGTGTTAAAGTTTGATTACAATAAAACTGTGAAAAGTTTGTGAGGTATATCAAAATATAATACAATTTCATTTATAAATAAATACATTTTAGAACTTTTAGACAAATATTTAGAATCACCCTACATTTGGTTAAAGCACTACTTTAAAATTATTTCTATCTATATTTTAAAAATAGATAATTACGTTTTTCATGAAAGGTACTGAAGTTATAGTTGATTTTTAATCTTAAAGTACATCTCTCAGAGAACTAAGCTATAAGCAAATTTTAGTGCTTCTTGTCAGGTTAAATCTATTAAAAATTAATTATAGTTAAAAAAAAGCAATTATTATACACTACATTCAAGTGCTACACCCAGGAATTCTTCAAATCCAATACTAACTGTTCCAACCTGGTCTGTGTCTCTTATTCGAAAGGCATCTATAAACAAAACATCAAATAATATATTACTATAATTATTACCTTATACATTTTCAGATATGTTTACTTTTATACATTGACTTACCTGTAAACCTTTGAATCTGAACACACAATACAATAAACTGATCCACAGTGATAGAAGAATGACCAGCTGGATCACTCTTTTTTATGAGAAATGAAATAAATTCTGGGCTGAGTCTATATCCCATTTGCGTTAAAGCTGCACTCAATTCGTTTTCTTGTATACTTCCTGAATTGTCATGATCAAAACCACGAAAAACACCCAGCCATGCATTAATATAATTGTAGAGTGCTTGAAATTCATTCAAGTCTATTGTGCCACTTTTTTCTTTGTCAAACATACCTATGAAAATCATTCAGTGTATACATATATGCATATCCTTAACCACTATAGTTATTGTATAATAAAAAATAATGGATTAAGAACTCACCTATCATTAATTTACAAGCAGTATCTGAAAATGTGCCACCTTGCCCATTTGCCAGTGCACATTTTAACTCTGATGCGCTAATTCTTCCACTGCCATCTCTATCAACAGCAGCAAACCATTGTTGCACTTCTGGATTAACTTGTGTTTGAGGATAGGCTTTACCATACATTGCCGCCTGAAAATTCATAATATTTAGTTGAAAATAATGAATTCTAAATAATGCATGGATAAATAAAATCCTACAGTTACAGCAACAGTTAGTAAAAAAATATTTAAATACCAACAATACATTCAATTTATGTGAGACAGACGAATGAAAATTTTATTTATTTGTGGAAAATATGTGTATCTTGTGTAGGAATGTAGAATGTGAAAATGTAATTACCGGATATGCCATGACTGACGTTTTCTGTCAATCACTGTCAATTCTCAAATACTGTTAATCGCACCGTAGACTGACGGACAAAATAATTGTTCACCCGCTCATCCCACTTCAATGATATATATGTACCATAGCATATATAATAGACTGCGCAGTCTTATGGTAGGGATGAAGTCGAGACCGAAGAACAGAAGTAGCTCTGGAGTAGCTCCTGTCTTGCTCGCACATCGCAGAAGGAGAGGAAAATCCATAGACATAGGAATAATTAAATATATTCCTATGTCCATGGGAAAATCCAAAATCGTGTGGACGGAAATCAGGGAAATGAAGGAAAGGGGTACTGCTAGAAATGGCGTGAACTGCTACTTGTGAATCACTCGTTATTCGATCACGTTCGTTCCCAATCACGGTGATTTTTCACAGCGATTCGTGATTTCTCGTGATCATTTCTGATTGGTGGAGAAACCTAACAATTCTTTACACGCGACACATAATCTGTATATTTTATATTAACAACATCATAACAAAAATTCGAGTTATATCGTATAAAGTGAAGGAATAATTAGAAACAATGAAGAATAATGAATAAATTAATGATTATAAATTATAATCTACATGTTACCTAGCAAATCATTCTTTTATAATTTCTTGTTTTTTTCTACTGATTTTTACAAACACGAATAGTAATGTAATTCATCGTAAAATCATATTGAATACGTTTTTCTGTTTAAAGATCAAGGACTTACTATCGCAGTGAGCAAATTCACTCAAGATAAACAAATCGCAATCACGATCGTGAATGACATTAAATCACGACCGTGATCGTGTTTCGGCGATCACTGTGATAAATCACCGTTAGTGATTTCGCACGCCGTCTCTAAATACTGCACGCACGTAAGTGGCAACTCTGATTTCGTGTGTTCAATGGAATAAGGAATAAGGAATTGTTCGAAGATAAATTCTTTAATCAGGATTTGTATTCTTAGTTTTTCAATAGAAGCTGATTAATAATATAATTAATAAATATTTGTAAAACGTACGTATGGTATCGTGTGTCTTAGCTGTACCTTCGTTAACTGTTTTTATCAGTGGCATCTAAAAAGTGTTACACGGTTGGATGCAACTTGTTGAAAAAAAGATTATTTACGTTTTCAAGAACAAATAATGACAATTATTACGTCTTGAGATGATTCTTGGGATGTGTGAAACCAATTTTTTTGAATTTTACAATTGAAACAATTAAATACAACACTGAGAATATACTTGTAAAAAAGGTATTGTTTACCTTTGAAACATTTATGAAGTATTGGTTATATCTTAAGTTTACTAAGTACCTTTATATTTATTAAAGTAAATCTGTATTTGAATTAACTATCTGTAAATGTGTGTATGTTGTAAAACAAAACCTTAGTTATAAATTATCATTGTGATTATGTAAGAAAATTTAGGCATTTAATGAATTGTACTTCTAAAGGATATACCTCAAATGGCAGTGACATGAAATGTATATTACTTTAACTGGAATAATCTTTTGAAATGTACATCACATGACAATTCATAGTGAAATATGGTACTAGAATTTTATTTAATAATATTACAAGATTATTGTTTATTTCAAATAGGTCTTTGAATGATCCTATGTATGATGGAACAGACAGATGGAAAAGTGATCCTACATTGGCTTATGCAAGACAAGCCCAAGAAAGAATTCAAGAATTTAATAGATTGAAAAGAGCACGATATCTTCTTGATGCTATTTTTCTTACAAATGAGTTAATTTTGGATGGATCAGATGTGGAAATATTGACTCTTGCTAGCACAATAATAAACAGATTTAAGGTTTTAGGGGTCTTTAATACATTAGTAGGTAAGAAAAATACCTTAAACAGTGGTATACATAATTATTAGACACGGAATTTAGTGCGTTAATATCATAACTAACTATGCAAAATGTAACAAAATAGAATCTTTACATCAAGTTTGGTAACATTTTTAATTATATTCAGGCTCAATCAGACTTAAGATGTAGGAAATAAATTTCTCCTTCATTCTTGTTTTTTTTAAATTAATTAGTAAATATATCAACTTGCAGAAACTTATATAGTCTAGTAATGTTATCTATATCAGTTCTTTTAATTAAAAGTAACATTTTCAGAAAATTCTAGTGAAAGCACAAGGGTATCTGTGCTAAAGCCATCTCATAGTGGTATATATCATTGCTGTACATTCTGTTCAAGTGGTGGTAAAAAGGAAGCAACCTGTGGTTGTGGAGGAACTATGCCTGGTAATATATATTTCTTTGAATATTACCAGAATTAACGACTATTCAATACAGCACAAATAATTACTTATAATTTAATTAAAAGGTGGATATCAAGGATGTGGACATGGTCATGTTGGACATCCTGGTGTTAGCCATTGGTCCTGTTGTGGATCAGTTTTAAGACACGGACGTTGCTTGGTCTTTCAAACATATGTGCATCAACTGCTACTTTGATGTTATTGGTTAGAAATAAATTTTATTTTTTCATTTACACATGTATGTACAGGGTGAACCTCTCGCTGGAGGGATCAAGAAACATGCACGTTGCTTTGTTGTTGAAGTGCTGTGACTACAAACGTGTCATCGGTAGGTTACTCCTGCTGAGTGGTCTACGTGTGTCTGTAGATATCTGTAAAACAGAGCGAGAACTCTCGCCGAAATCTCACTTTTTCCAAGTGGATGCAGAGAGATATATCCATTGACATATGTAAACCGCTCAGTAGAAGTAACTTACCAATGACACGTTTATAGTCATGGCATTTGAATGACAAAGCAGACAGATTGCCTCCCAACCCCTCCAGCTAAAGGTTCATCCTGTATGTGTACCATTCTTTTTGTACATAAGCCTTTATTACACACAAATGGTATTATAAAACTAAACTGAATTTTCATTGCATATATACATTTTTAAAGTAAAGTCAGTGTCCTTATTTCTGCTCAGTACGTATATTTTTTATTTAATGCAAAAAGTTACATAATAAATTAGTTATGCAGAAATTATTTAAATCAGTTCAGTATTTCCGTAGAAAATGCTACTGCCCGCTGTTCAATACATGGCAGCATTTTAATAGAAACAAATTTAATAAATGTGTGTAAAGAAAACGTGATTTTAACGGTTCCGTTGCAATCGTGAGTTAGACGGCGACGCTGCGTTTTTGCTTAAAAAAACTTACGGATGCTTTCATATTGTTTGCCAAAGTTTGGTTTCGGCACTTCCATTTTCGCTGAGCAGAAATAGGGACATTTTATGTCATGTTAAATTAACTATTATTAAGTTAAATTGTTTTTAAAAATACATTTATTTCAATTTAATTACAAAGGAATGTTTAGATTTCATATCTAATAAATTTTTTTGTCGATTGCTGCATAAATAAATAATAAAAATCAATTTCTGCGATAGCAGAACGCTTACATGATTAGAAATAGGAACATTGACCTTGTTGCATCTAAAATAATTTTCCATATTTTATCATGTTTCTTATAAATGTCAAAACAATTGTACCTCAAATGACAGTCTTATTCCTTTAAACTTTAAACCTACAACTTGTAACATCACATGACAATTCATATCTATACATGTACGTAATTCGATTTCCTTATTCATACATCTTCTGTTTTAGACCATTTCTCATGCTCATTTTCTCTGATTATAGTACTAGTGGATGTATATCAGTCTTTAAGTCTTTAACAAGCACTCAGTACTAAGCAGTGTAACATACCGGTAGTCCATCGAAATGAAAATACCTTTCATTTCATCAAAAGTACTATTTAAAAATGCATTTCGATGGTACTGTCTCAGAAGCATATTTAAAAGTGCCTTTCCTTTTTGCAACACTGTTGTTAAATAAAAAACAACCCTTTTTCCAGCTCCGGTTGCATGTTCACTTGCATGTCCGCGATGTTGTGTACTCCACATGCATTCTTTACAGGTCACCTGAAAGGAACAACTTTTTTGATCAGGAAATGTATATGAGCGGTTAGTTATTAGACTGCGGATTTTGATGCAAAATGACATTTTATGAAGTCATTCATGAAGATAAGAACAATAGTAGGAACTTCTTTCTTCCCTTGTTGGGTTCAGAATAATACGGAAAACTCGTAGCATCTGACGAAAGTTTTGTCTGTTATTTTATTTCACAATAAAAGTCCTATAGGCTATAAATGCATAAAATCTGCAGTCTGATTATCATATAACTACACTGTGGATACTTATGCATTTATAGCATTTCATAACTTGGAAAATGCACTAAAATAAATATTTCAATAAAATTTAATACTATTTATATGTTATTATTAATATAGTAAAGCCTCTACTACACAATGAAACATTCTGCCCTATTTTAATTTGTAGATATCACTATCTAAAATTTTGATTTTCCATAAACTTCCGCAGTCTACATGTGATTTAAAGCTTCAATTATAAACCTGCTGGCACGCAATGCAGTAAAATCTCAACGCGTGTCTAGGATGCTGTTGACACAGTGCAGTACGTCGCAGTTTGGTAGCTTCCCAAAGAGGTCTTGTCACATGTTTCGATGGTTTAAGTTCCATAGTGACTTGTTGTCGATGTTCCATTCCACAGTCTGAACAGAAGTTGCGTAGACACGTGGAACACTGAACAAGCGCCTTGAAAACGTAATTTTGATATAGGTACTGAAGTGTTTGACTAAATAATTGTTGACTATAATGAAAGGAATACAATGCTTACAACAACTTCATCTGTACAGACATCGCAAAGAACTCTGTTTGCAAGTCTGCAGCGTATAGCATCCATAACTAACCGATGCTGAAGAAGATAATGCGGCGGAGGAACTGGAGAACTACCGTTTGGTAGTCTGAAATCGCATAAGGGACACATTTCATAGAAATCACTCTCTCGATCTCCTGACTGAGTACTATCCATTCTAATGTTTTGGGGGGAATTACAAGAACCTGTAACATGGAAGAACATACAGATTACATGTTTTGGAAACCTATAATTAGTTCCAAAGACTGCACTAGACCTAAATCATTTACGTTTGTTTATTAGTTCTGAAATACATGGTGAACATATAGGATGCAAACATGGGAGGAGTCTCGGCTCCTGCATTCTTTTATTGCATCTAGGACACTGGAAGTCTTTATCTTGCCCTGTCTCAAGGGAAGAAAATGTTTCTTCTTGTATATAGTCATTACTTTGTTGATCTTCTATATTGCAAAATAATTCAGAAGGAGGTTGGTACATAGAGTTTGTCATATTTGTACTCCCAGACATGGGTATGTTCGAATAATCATCATCGCTAGATGAAAAAAAAATATAATTACTAAACAGTATGAATTAGTTACATATATAATGCTTTTTTATTTTTTAATATATCTTGTGAAAAGTTGTAGTTTCATTCTATGGCTTTCTATAAATGTTGTATAAATTTGTCGTCACTGAATGATTCATCGTCTTGCTAGGAGCTGCGCAAACTCAGTGTACGAAATCAACGGTATAAAAGCATCTATCTTTAGAATGTCTAGCAATAATAAACATTTTGTACATTTCAGAAAGTTTCGAGTACAATATCGTCTCTGAATGATGCGTTACTAATAAGCGAAGAAAATTAAAAATAGCTCTTACCGGACGCTCTGCGCAAAACCCGAAGAATCAATGCTAACGTCTGGCTGAGTATCTGCTACTTTATTTTTTTGCTCGAGGAATGTACAATCTTTAGTGTAAAATTCGTTATTCTCTTTTTGGCTATCCATCGACACCCTCTCGCCGCAACAACTTTTTATAGATTGGTACTTGGAGCATTTAACAAAATCCATAAACACTGCAATGCTGTCAAACTAATATTTGCCATGAATAAATTAGAAACATATAAACCAGACATTTAAAATTTGTAACACGTCAACATATAAATGTTATCTAAAAGTGTATGATCAAAGTGGTATAGCGTAATATAAACTTTATACGTTTATAAAATTTACAAAATAACAGTGTGTAGCAAAATACACTTACCGAGATACAGAGAAATCTATGCTAGTTAGAATGCAGGGAAACTTTCGTCGACGAACGACACACAAATACCATTTGCACTAGTTCACGTTTGCCACAGCGTAATGAGTTAAAAATAACGTTAAAATGGGCGCATGCGAATCGGAACCATGACTGTTTAATACCGAATTCCAAATCATGCTTGTTAGTTGTCACGTAGATACAGAATTAATAAAACGAGAATCTGACAATTAAACTTATACAAATACTCCAGGTTAAATTAACATCCTTCTCAACTATGTGGATAAGAAATTTTATTATTTATCCATACACGTGTAAAAATAGGATCGATGATATACATATTAAAGAGCAAGTATTACATATAAAGAATATATGGATAAGGAATGATTACTATACAGGGTGTTTGATAACAAGTGTCGGAAAATGTAAGGAGTAATTCTACAAAATAAAATAAGACACAAATCAAGGGGAACAACATTGCTGTTGAGTCTTCATTTTTTAGTTATAAGCATTTAAAAATCAAGGTGAACGCTGCCTAGAACTAGGTAACCACAAGGCAGTTGGGAAAAGAGACAGTGCTATCAAAATTCAATGGACACCACAAACATACCACAGAGAAACTAGGAAATCCGACGATGTCCGTCAATGCTACGGGAACCTGTGTCACTTTGAAAATTCTTGCACAGTATTAAGCCTACCTATTTCATGAAATCCTCAAGGGCAATGTTGAGGCAAGAGAATTTGTTAAAATCTTCCTGGGAGGTCAATCTTATGCATATCGATCCCCATTTTTCGAAGACCATGATTTCCACCAACGAAAGACAAATAGGGAAAATGTCCTCGAATCGTGAATCTTTATATGTAGGACACATAAAGAAACACGTGCGACTCTAATACCTAATATGTTTGTCTTCGACAGCATTCTCAACGTTCCTGTGTCCTACAGATGTTGACGTAACAGTAACGACGAGATATACGATTCAGCAATATTTTTTCCTATTCGACTTTCGTTGATTCCTGTAGCACTGACAAATATCGTCGAATTTTGTGGTCCCCATTAGACTGTTTATGACATTGTAGGATTATCTGTTCGGTTTTTCTTAAATGGTTATAACTAAAAAATGAAGATTCATTGATAATTTGGTTACTCCTGATTTTCGTCTTACTTTATTATGTAGAATTATTCCTTAAATTTTCTGACGCCAGTTATCGAGCAACCTGTACATAAATACAAATTCTTTCAATACTTTCTAAGGCCATGATCAAACGAATTTCGATCATTGTGTTATAGCACCGCCAGCGTATACAAACAGCGGTGCATCTACACGATTATACAATGAAAAATTCTGAAACTCAAGTACACAATACAGACAAATGATAATATTATCCCGAGTAAAAGTCAAATAAGATGTAATCACGGATGATGAGCCTGTGTCCTCATTATTTGTCTAGCCGGTACTTAAGTACATCTGTTTCAATTAAATTAATTTACGCAGGTGGCAATTTCTTCAGTTCGAGAAATTATATGGAATTTACTTAGGTACGTACTTAACATTACAGCCCAGTAAGTGACTAGTACTTTATGTTTTGGCCAAACGTACACGAGTGTGCGTGGCTTAATGAGATCTCAGATTCTATATCTTTCTGAAATATGAAATTTAATTATAATTTAATGATCGATGCATCTATTAATTTATAAGACGGTCCATTACCTCATGTTTTCACTCTAGAACCGACTTTAGCGAAGCCATTCCGAGATTTACCGTTTCTTGTTTGACTACTGAAGCAGTTTGCTCTTCCCGCTATACGTGTGTGTGCGTGCGAACTTTGTGCGATGCGTGCGCAACCAAGTTCCTTTCTTCCTTGGGAGTCCTCTCCTCCGAGCGTGGGCTCTCTAGCGTTCTACATGTTCAAGCGAACGCTTCATTATATACAGATCTCAGTTTATTTATGATTATACTATAAATTATAAGTTATGTGTGATGCTGCAATAAATAGATATGCACTCCATACTGCGGACTACTCCTGATTTTTTACTTAAAAGGAAGTTCTTCTGTTTCTTTAAAGAAACAACTTCACCAGTCTAGGATGAAGGAAGACGAATTAATGTCGTCATATGTATCCTCGAATTAAAATAGTTGTCAAAAACCTCTACGAAACAGGCTGTGAAGTACGAGACGATGACACAGCGTACACTTTACTAGCCGGATTGCCAAACGACTATGAAAACTTAAACATGGCTTTAGCTAACTTAGCAGATGAACAGTTTACCTCGTCAGAGATAACAAAAATACTACTGACTGAGTATGATAGGCGCAAATCCATATGCACCGACAACAACGAAGACCGCATGGAAGCATTGAATCTACGCAAGGGACCAAAACAGACAACATTTGTTCACATTGCAGGACAACAGGTCATAATATACAGAATTGTTGATTTAAAAACAAAACTAAAAGTCAGAACCACAATGGCCAGAGGAAAGAAAGCAACAAAAGATTTTTGGTATCACTTAACAATATAGACATGGAAGATACATGGATCCTTGATAGTAGATGTACGCACCATGTATGTAAGCGAAGAGATTGGTTCATAAAATTCAAGGAAACTCGCTTGGAACCAATCAACACAGCTGCTGAATCCAATGGAGAAAAGAGTCTCACACTGGAAACCAAAGGAATAGGTGATATCATAATAAGAGCCTTCGTTGGTAATAGAACACAGGAAATAACATTACATAATATTATGTACCTCGTATTAGAAAAAATTTATTGTCTGTCTCCCAAATCGAGCGAAGAGCCAAAGAAATCGTATTTGAAAACGGAAAAGCAAGTATTTATGATACAAGCAGAGACAGAGAACTTATGTGCATAGCTGACAGACAAAATGATTTGTACGTAGTTCGTGCAAAAAACGATTAAGAACTAGAGAGAAATTTTGGAATCTTATAGCATAGCCATACAAGATAGTAAATTATGGCACCATGGATTCTGCCATATAAACATGAAGACAATTGAAAAGACAGCAAGTCGAGTCCGAGGACTAGAAAATACAACAATTGGAGAAAACGCATGCGAAGATTGTTACATTGGAAAGTCAACAAAAATGCCTTGTTGAAAGATTGGAAATAGACAGTCGAAGGATGTTTGCGAGCTGATTCATTCGGATATTTGCGGACTGATGCCTACCAAGTCGTTAGGTGAGAAACAATATTTTGCAACGTTCGTTGACGATTATTCAAAGTATGTTACAGTTGTATTCCTCAAAACGAAGGACAAAATTAAGGATTATATTAAAAAATATATAGCCAGCGCGAAACTCGAAACGGGAAAGAAAGTCAAGAGATTTCGATCCGACAATGAAAAAGAATATTGTAATCAAGATCTAAAAACCTACCTTGAAGAAAAGGGTATTAAGCACGAAAGATCGAACGTAGAGACTCCTCAGATGAACGGGATAGCTGAACGAATCAACAGAACACTACTTGACTTAACCAGATCAATGTTGAAATCTGCCAGATTGCCCCAGAAATTTTGGGCTGAAGCCGTCGCTACGGCAGCGTATGCCAGGAACCGAGTAATTCACACGTCCAATAAGGATCAAGTACCACTTGCTATTTGGTCAGGAATAACTCCAAGTGTAAAACACTTAAAAGCGTATGGAGTATTGGCTTACGCACATTTACCAAAGCAAGGACAGAGGAAGTTAGACGATAGAACCACTCCAGCCGTATTAATCGGCTACGCAACGCAAACGAGAGGCTACCGTCTATGGTGCCCGAAGAAACGGGATGTAATAGTAACCAAACATGTACGTTTCGTAGAAGATAAGATGGGTTTTGAATGGTTGCACTGCGAAAACATAGATTATGAATATGATACTATGCATATAACGACATTTGGTCGGGAGAAGAAGATGAATCACAAACTGATGCACAGATCGCGGGCATGAAGGAAGTAACGCAGCAGCGAACATCAGCCACAGTTGATAACCCGACTAACGAGACAGTGGGGGTGGAAAATGCTCAGCCGAAAAAGAAAGTTGGAAGTCCAATGAAAGTCGTAAGGAATCCATATGGAAGAAAAGGCAAACCTCGTCTCCAAGAGGACCAAATGAGCAACATTGAAGAAGAAGACAGGGAAAGCATAGAACTAAACCTTATGGAGATTACAGAACCGAATACCCTAGACGAAGCCCTGTCGTCCCCCCAAGCAAAGCACTGGGAAAGGGCCATAGAAGATGAAGTGAATAGCCTGATACAAAGAAAAACCTGGAAGACCTAGACAGCGTACCAGCAGACCGGGAGGTTATACGTAGTAGATGGGTATTTAAATTAAAGAGAGACTGTAATGGTAACGTACTTAGATATAAGGCCAGATTGGTGGCACAAGGTTTCACCCAACAAAAGGGGGTTGATTACCACGAAACCTATGCACCAGTAGCTAGTTTTTCAATAATAAGGTTGCTATTAGCAAGTTCAGGTATTTTCGGTTGGCACACTAGACAGTTGGATACAAAATGCGCGTATCTTTATGGAAAGCTTGAGGAGGAGATACTTATGAAGCTACCTCCGTCGAATAAATGTGAGGAAGAAAGGATTGTAAAACTAAACAAGCCCATTTATGGACTCAAACAGTCAGGCAGAAATTAGAATGCTGAACTGGATAGCTTCTTCACGGAACAAAGGTTTGAGAGATTACGCTCATCCAATTGCTATTACATTAAAGGATACTGGACCATAGCCGTAATTTATGTAGACGATATTTTTATATTTGCAAAAGAACTAACATCGATAGAAAATTTGGTTAAACTCATTAGTGAGAAATACGAAACCAAAGATCTCGGGGAAATAAATCATGCCTTAGGTGTTAAGACAGAGAGAAACGATAATTCAATTATACTTAGTCAAACACCATATTTAGAATCCTTGTTACGCAAGTATAACATGAAAGATTGTAGGGGCGCGGCAACCCCATTAGAACCCGGTTTAAAACTTTTAAAGAGTTCATCACCAGATCAGTTAAACGATAACGGAATAACAGCATATCGATCGTTAATGTATATAGCCTTGCGAAGTAGACCATATATTCTGTTTGCCGTGACAAAATTGTCACAGTTCAATTCATGTCCGAGCGAAATAGACTGGACTCAGGCTAAGCATATTTTGCGTTATTTATATAAAACCGAAAGATACGTTGTGCGTTACGATATAGACGAAAAGCCCGAAATTAAAATTTTTTTCGACGCAGATTGGGCAGGCGATATGGACGATCGGCATTCGTTTACAGGTATGGTTGTAATGATAGGATCCAACCCTGTACAATGGATGTAATCCAAACAAAAATGTATATCCATGTCGACCATGGAAGCCGAGTACATCGCGTTAGCGTCTGCTGCAAAGGAAGCAATATGGTTAAGAATGTTTTTAAACGAACTAGAACTTTACGAATTCTTCTCGGGAATTAGCAATATATACTGCGACAACAAATCAGCAATAGAGTTCTCAAAAAGTCGTATAGAAAACTGACGAACTAAACACATAGATATAGCCTACCATGTTATAAGAGAAGAAGTCGAAAAGAAATCAGTCGCATTGGCGTACGTCGCCTCCAACGAAAATTTAGCGGACGTAATGACGAAGAGCCTAAAATGTGTGGCTCATAAAGCCTGTACCAAAGATTTAAAACTAGGAACAGCAAAAGTGGGGGATTGAAGCAGTTTGCTCTTCCCGCTATCCGTGTGTGTGCGTGCGCAACCAAGTTCCTTTCTTCCTTGGGAGTCCTCTCTTCCGAGCGTGCGCTCTCTAGCGTTCCACATGTTCAAGCGAACGCTTCATTATATACAGATCTCAGTTTATTTATGATTATACTATAAATTATAAGTTATGTGTGTGATGATTTTTTACCCAACAACTACTATTCTCCATCTTACGATGCTCGAACAGAACGTCGTCCAAGTCCGTATCTGATTCGGATAGTACCATTCTTTGTGCCGAAACTACAAAAAGAAAAAAAACATTATATTAATTTTAATGATATGAAATTACCTTGAATTAATGTGCTTGGAAGACTATTGTGTATACACGTACTAGTGTCATCTTCCTGATCCGGTTGCAAAAGAAAGTAACGAGGTGGTTTTTTCTTGGTTCGAAGCGAACGTCGTTTCCCTGTACATATTCTTTGACACAGGCAAACCAGACCCCAAATGAGACCAACCCAACACACAACCAGCGATAACAGTGCGATTATTACGTAAAGAATACTCCAATCTAGAAAATGATATATTTCTCACATGATTTCAAATTCCAGAAATTCATATTTATTGCTCGAGGCATTTTAACTTACCGCAATTGGAGTCGCCGTTACCGAAATATTTCTGTACTAAATTTTGCATCCAGAATGCCTCACACATACATAATCTAGTTTCTTGATCGCACACTCCATGACCTATATACGAGCATAAGTATAATAAAAGGAATATGTTATTAATATTATAGGAGGAAATTTACTTACCCGAACAATTATTTTGACACACAGCAGTATCGATATTCGCTACAGACAACTGAAGTAGCCCGGAATCTTGTTTCAATTTTTCTTTCAACCGTTTAACTACTTCAGGTCCTGGCATGGTTGTTTTACCTCCTTTCTTCTCCACATAGAACACTAATACTGCTTTGCCGGTATGTGGTTCCGCTCTTAAATTTCGAACAACAATCGACGCTTCATCTCGCAGTAACATTTGTAGTTTAACTACCAATGAATTTTTTTGAGATACTGTTAGCATATTCGCTCCGATATTTAATGTCAATTCGACCAAATGTAATAACTGTGGATCTGAAGAAAACCGTTTTTGTTTCAGTTTTACTATGGGATGCCTATATATCCTTTGTCTTTTTTTATACATACCTGGTTTTACTATGACTGACACAGTGTCTTCACTACTGAGACCTTGATCATCCATTACTTTTAATCTAAAAACATATCTGCCCGGGACAATGTCAGTTAACTAAAATTAAAAAAGTATAAATGGTATAGGTTATCTATACACTTTTAATGTACGCAAAAGTGCTAGAAAGTTTTCCCTCCATTCAAACAAAGAATGTATGAATGGAGATATTTAAATAAAACGAGAAGAAACTATTAAAAATAAAAATGTGACAAAGGAAGCAATGTTTTTTAGTCAGCTCTCGTATGTGTAAGTAAATATTATTACCATTAAAATTGGTGACTTATCCGTATCGTGAGTTATAGTACCTATAGCAAGACTAGACGGATCTCTTGTCCAAAACCACTCACTAATTTTTAAATCGTCAGTCGACTGAGTTCCATTAATAATTAATGCACTGATGGGGGCTATCACGACCTGATCACCGCCCGCATTTGCTTTAGGAGGAGCATTTTTATCTGTTAAATGAAATTAATTCTATTATACATGAACTATTATAATCCCACAAGACACATAAAACTTTGAAACATACTTTGTGTAACTTTTACTTTCACAGTATCAGAGTCTTTATTTCCGTTATCATCGATCACGGTTAGCTTAAATTCATAATCGCCCTTTGTTAGTTTTGTTACATTGGTAATTGATTCATTAACAGCAGAAAATTCTCCACTGCTGGGCCCACTGTTAAAAGAAATTCATTATTGTGATATACCATTCGATAGGTTGCCAAGAAAAAAAAGTGTGTACCAATTTTCAACACTTTACCTCGACCAGGAGGGTAATAATAGGGAAAATTCGGATTATGCGATTTTTCCTCTATTTCCCCTAATTAATCACATACAAAAGTTCTGTAAACATCTGATAGATAGTGTTTACCAGGTGTTAGAGAATATTTTGCGATTTTTGGTTGAAAATACTAGTCATCACAAAAAAAAATTTATTTCCTATTGAAATCTTAAATCGACTACATTTATATAATACAGTGACAATATATCGTCACAAGTATGGTCCTCGATTTTTTGGAAATTTTTTGGTAGGGTACGTCGTAGTTTTAAAACTCAAAAGCCGACATTTTAGACGTTTTTTTCATGAAAAAGTTACTTGTACTTTGAATATTTGTATTTTCTTCGTGAAGTAAGTATATTATACGACTTTAAATATTTCCATATCCAGCAAAGCAGTATATAAATTATAGAAATTGTATTAACTTAACCCACTCGAGGATAATACTTGTGATGATATATTATTACTCTAATAATACAGGGTGCTCCCAAAATAGCTTTGACTGCTATGTTGGGACACCTTGTATAAATGTAATCGCTTTAAGATTTCAATAAGAAATAAATATGTTCAGCATTTTTTGTAATCATACTACCCTCCTGGTCAAAGTGGAGGGTTGAAAATTGGTACACGTTTTTTTTTCGTGATAAGCTATCTAATGATATATCACAAGTCCAAATCGGTCTAAGGACATTTTTGACCCGTTTATCCAACTATACCCTTTAAGCTTACCTCACTTGTTCCCAATGATATGATACAATCTTAATATCATCTTTACTTTTTCGACCATCAAGCATGGTTTTCGTTTCTGGTAGTGCTATGGTTATATCTTCACCAGCGTCAGCTATGTAAAATAGTACAAACTAAAGTATTTATATCTATGCTAGAAGTAGAATAATAATAAGAATATATACGTGAATATATTATTCTTATTATTATTTTATTTATATTCTAAATCTTATCATTACCCTTGGGTGGTTTATTCGTCGGCGGTTTTACAAAGACGTGGACTTCGGCTGTAGAATATTGTTCAGAGTCATCTGTTACTTTTAACACAAACGTATACATTCCCTCTTCCAGATTAGACAGTTGTAAATAAGGCGTTCTCGTGTTCTGCATATCCACTGCTTTGTTTTGGTCAGAAGGACTTTTTGTCCACTCCCAACTCGCTATACCATGATCATCCGTACTTAAGTTACCGTTCAAAGTTAATGTATTTTGAGGTAGATATATAATAATATCTTGCCCTGCATTTGCGCTAGGAGGATAGTCAGTTACTTTCAGCACAGTTATATTAGCACTTGTAGAGTTTGTAATGTGATCGGAATCTTCCACAGTTAACCTAAAAAGAAATAGAAATTTCATTAATTTTCCATTAAATATCCATACAGATAGTAATATGAAGTATAATACTAACTTAAATGTATAGTTGCCAGGGATAAGATTATCCAACTGCAACGTAGGTGTGTCGACTAGGTTAGGTTGATAACCAATGGGTCCCTGTTGGAGTTCCCAGTGATAGGAAATTACTCGGTCATCATCTTTACTTGATGATCCATCTAACACAGCTCCGGTATTTGGTAGTTTCACAACTTGAGAAGCAGGAGAAATTATAGCTATTGGCGCCTGATTTATTCTCTTTGCTGCAAATAGCAGTAAAAATTATTATTGATAATAACATTCACTATTACCAAAAGTGAAGTATATAAAAAAGAATAACTTACGTGGTAAAACGCTGACATTTGCATATGCTTCACCATAAGCATTTGGGCTGTTTACTGTTACTTTGAATGTATATAAACCCTCAGACAGATTACTTAATTTAACAGTCATACGATTCTGATCAGTCATGATGCCCTTATGACTTTCTGGCTGACTCAGAAGACTCCAAGCATAATTGTAGTGCTCATTGTCCTGCTCTGCAGGCACAGTGTAGGCAGACAGTGTTACTTCATTTTCTGGTAAACGTACTTCCTTTGAAACTGCAGAAACTAACAAGCGCTTCATTGTTGGTTTCATAGATAAACTTGAATCTTTAAGAATTTGAGCCTTTATTTGTGGTGTTACACTAAGCTGTATGTCTTCATCCGGAGTACAAATTCCTAGCGTAATCCATATACATTAGGAAATGAACAACAATCGCATAATATGAAATAATACAATTACCAAAAGAAATAATAATAGAATTACCTGCGATATTACGTTTAAATCCAATAGAACATTGGCAAATTCCAACATCAGATTTGTCCTGATCTTTAATGCATATTTCATGCTCTAAACAATTTCTTTGAGTAAGACAGCTTATTTCATTTGATCCATCAAAAAATATATGGTCTCTTTCTGTTCCATCCATCAGCACTGTACTAAAAAATAAAATGAAATGAATACATATTGCATATATTTAAGAAAACAATCCTAAAATTCCCATAGAAAGTTAGATCTATACCCAGTATCTTCATTTATCTTCTTCATCTTCAATAATTCACTCCACATATCATCCTCCTCTACAGGCTTAACCAAGACCATACTTGGTGGACTTTCATTGGCTAAATCCACTCTGTACAATGGTAAACATATTTGGGAATTTTCGCATTGCACATGATAACAGGTACTGTTATGCGTAAGGGCTACATTGCATTTAGGTTTAGTGCAACAAGCAGTCACACAATGATGAATGCCACTCAAATGTGGCTGACTAGCATATATTCCACTGGAAAGATTTCCTCTGGGTGTATAACTTGTGAATACCCTGGGATATAATCCAGGACACACCATTTGCCATTTTGTATCCCATTCAGAATAATCACCAATGCAGTTTCCAAATAGTAATAAGTATAATCCCAGGTAAAAGAATTCAACCATCTTAACTGAAACAAGAATTAAATATATACCTATAAAGCATCTGTGCTTTAAATAAAATATTTATATATTAAATACAGTGAGTCACAGAAGTATTTGTGCCCTCGCAATTGTTGAATTTGAATGATTAATATTCTTTAATAATATACATTCTGAAATGTTTATCAATAAGGATATATTGTGCAATAACTAAGCTTTTGAATGATTTATCATTAATTGAAAATAATAATATACGTAAGTGGAAACTTAAGCAAATTATCGAAAATGTAATCTCATCAAAGTATTCTAATTCGTTCAATTTAAGGGGCCATAGGAAATTTACAAATATTTACAAATATTTTGATTCCACAAGGATACAACTTATACGAGTACGAATACTTTTATGGGCTTGATTTATATTACTCTGAATTTGTATATTATATTACTTCAGTACTATGAGTTTTCATTTACATTACTATGAAATGTTATTTTTCACTAAGCAACACATCATTCGAAAGCTTACTTATTGCACTACATATGCCTATTGACAAACATTTCAGTGTATATATTGTTGAAGAATTATTAGTCATTCGAATTCAAGAACTGCGACAGTACAAATACTTTTGTGACTCACTATATATAAAAAAAATATATTGACCATTTATTTAAAAAATACACATTAATGTTTTTCATTATATTCTTGTTGAACAAATTAGGGAAGTAGGTAAATTGAAATATATTCTACATATGTAGTTGAAATATAACAATATAAAATGATTATATGAACATGAACATTGTTATCTTTAATGAGGGTAATATAATTTATTACACTAATGAAACATTTTTATTAAGAAATGGGTATTACCAGATTATAGATTTTTATGGCATTTCATATTTTATTGAATTGATTAATTAAAGTATCAATGAAATATGAATAAATCACCTTGGTAAATGGTTTTACTAAGTAAAGAAAAAAATAAGGTCTATGTTGTATTTCATTAAAAATATGTGTTTTATTGAATTTTACCTAATTACACGTACTATAAGTTTATAAAATCCAGTCTAAATAGTCGGTACTACTCATAGAACTACGTAGAAAGCTATATATGTATATGTAGTAAGATAAAAATGAATGTTTACATTACAGAAGATTCCTACCTGGTTATTCGTATACTATATACGTGGGTAAATATCAAAGGTTAAGATGATCCTAGCAAATATTTCAGGTTATTTTATGAAACATCTGTTACCTTGTGAATTGCTTCGCCATCAAACATCAACTACAAACTGTCGAGGGATCGTTTCGCTGGTATCAGCTGGTATTAATTCCGAGTGGTGTGCAGATGTACACGGCACAGGCTTATCGTATATTAGCAGCATGTTATTATCAACAGCAGCAGCTAATCAACTATAGGGGCAATTATCATATTTCCTGTTGCACCGGAATAATGAAAGGTCGACTAAATGAAGATAAAGTTTCGCGTGTTAATGGCACATCACCCAGAAGAAACTTATACTGTTTATACTGTTAATTGACACCAGACGTTCAACAAACACATGAAAACAAATCATTCGATTGAAACCTCCACTCCACGCCACTATTGTCTAACTACTTGCACGCTTGAATAACCTGCGCTCCACTAACATACAGATGTCGACACTAGGAAAAATAATTGTAGAGAATCAATGGTTTGCAGATAAATGCAATACGTCTAAACTCGACGATAACATTCTCGACGAAAGCATGGCAGCGATAAACATAAAAGCTGATTTCCTAAATTAATCAATATATTAGTATCAAACTTCAGCAGTTAAATTTGGCGCGCAAAACCACATACTTCACACACAGTCTACGAATAAATCCCTACATTTACATAATTAATAGATAAATTGACAGCGTACGCATTGTAAATATGTACGTATTTGTTACATTTTAAGAAAATGATACATAAAATAGTTGTAACTACCATCGTCATTGGGTCAAAATGACCCTGCATCACCTTACATCCACTGGACGAGGATTAAAGCGGAGGTAATTTTTCATATTTAAATTTGTTGAAAATGATGCAATGAAGGTATAGTATATACACCATTTGTCTTCTTTAGGTTTATTAAAAAAAACGTTATGTTCTTAGCTATATTGATTATGTAAATGAGACAGCTTATGGATCTTAATCTTCTACCTATTGAATAATAATGGGGAAGAATTAGTTCTCATTGTCAGTTTTGCAATTTCGTTTTCAGATACAGTCGAACCTTCAGTATCCAAACGTTCCACTATTCACATATTCTATTATCTGAATAGTGTATTTTCGAAGTAGTATGTATATGTTCTACTCACTACTGTATTTGTAATCGCTAAACGTAATTATTTCATTACTATTATCACAGACGAGGTACATCAGGTAGATACATATAGTACATACAAATAAGAGTAGACGTTACACCTGGTTACACATTACAGAAGTTAGTGGCGTTGGTGGCCCACCTCCTAAAACTGTAGTACCGACACAGCAAAGGCCTGTGCTTTTACTAATCCCTACGTTTTCAAAAGAATTCACTCTAGTCGCAATCCCTCCTCCCTCCATAGGACATATATAGACGGAGCATGAACTGAGCGGGGTAGTAAGATTCGCGGTAAGGAGGTGGTTCCTTTCGGTGTTCATTCCTTTTCGGTGCTATTCGTGTATACAATCACGTTACATACATGTATGCTATGAGAGATGAAATGAATATACTTATTATACGTTAAAAATTCTGTATGTCATGTAGTTTGTATAGATATATGTATGTAACAAAATTAATAAATAGTATAAAGCATTAAATAACAGTACGGCACACAGCCCACCAGCTATTAATAACGAGCCGAATCGAACCGAAGGTAACCGACGTATATCTAACGACCGCTGTCTTTTCCTCTCCAATCCTACGGTCCCCGCGCCCAAAGTAGTAACTTATATTCCGTCTATATATGCTATGGGAACGAGTACTTGTTAGAAACGCAGCGCGACGAAGACCTCTGCCAGGTACTTTCTACATTTACCGGCCCGCCGAGTGCCATCCGCACTTACCGGCGGACCCACGCGTCGAGTGACGTGGAGACAGTATCATGTATACACAGCTTTTATATGATACACTAGACTGCGAGCCTGGCCGTAGCAAGTGAGGCAAATTGGTAGCGTGGTAGGGATGGCGGCCATTTGTCAATAGGTACAAACTTAGAGAACCAAACTATAGCACTTTTGAAATATATAGATTACAAATAAGGTGGAAAGCAGCATACAAAACCCTTGTTACTTTTCAATATTAATAACAGTATAAATGTTATAAAATGTGTTAACTGGGCTGCGGATGTTTATGGAAATACGTATTCGGCTTACATAATATAGAAAAATAGGATTAAAGTAGAAATTATTAGAGGGTTTTTGAAACTATTTCTTATTTTGCATATTTTGCATAATGTATATGTTCCGTGTATTCCACAGTCAAAATAAAAATATCTCATGTCTTGTTCAAAACATGTATTTACAAAAGTACATATATAGAACATGTATATACAGAAGTACATATAATATAAAATTTGCCCAAATTGGAAAACATAAAACGCAACAAAAACACAAGCACACCTGCAGGAATTATATACTCTTAGAGAATGATAATGCAAAGACAAAGGAAACTCTTTAATGTCTATTTCATACCGCTTCCCATAAGAACTTTTGCCCTTATTTTTAACCTCAGTTTTAAAAATGTGAAGTGGTAAATCTTGAAATCCTTGTTCTAGTAAAAACATTGGATCCTGTTCTAATAATTCTTTTTCTTTTGAAGTGCTTAATAACTGTTTCATGCTCTTGATTTTTTTTTCCTATCACAAGATTTTTTGCCAGAGAGTCTTCACAATGCTTTTCAGTTTCACCTTCCGTGGTGTGTCACTGGTATTTTTCTTTTTAGGTAGTTTGTCATCAGAATTTACTTCAAGCTGTCACTTATTTTCAGCCGATTCAATTGGCAAAACAATACAATCTGTTTCAATAAACAAAATTAAATATTACGCTTGTTAGTTATAAATATAATAGAGAAACATCATTCGTTGGAAGGTTTATCTATTGTTGCAAGAAGAGACATGCTAGTTTGAAAGTTACTCCTAAGACAGTTAGTATAAGTGCACTACATGTATATTTTATTACCTGTCAATACATCTGTGTTATCTGCTATAAATGGTACAATAGCTTCTAATGGGTCCATTATAGTGTTGGAACTAGTTGATGGCCCATCAATGTTTGTAACATTGATTTCTTGTTGAACTATGGGCATAACACGTGTAGCTCCTTTTACAATTATAGATGGTACTGCATCTGGTTTTAAACGTTTTACATACATGCCAGGTCTTTTTAAGTAATCATCGGCAGTAAAATGTAAACTGCAAACGGTTGTGTACTTAGAAGGTTTGTTATTTTCTTTTCCCATTACTTCCAACCATTTCGAACAAAGACTGAAACTGGTTAGGTTAGGCTTCGTATGATATATAATACACCATTAAGTACCTTACTTATATGCATTTTGTATTTTCTTATCATACTATATTCTTAATCCAATTAAAGCAAATCTTAAAACAAGTAGTATCTTATATAAATTTTTTCAAAAATCTTATCTAAAGAATTGGATGTCACTTCCAAGCTTGCAATACTGCTGACAATTCGAAAAACCGCACTTTTGACGCATTTTTAGCTCCTGCTTAATCGTTCACATTAATATTTTACATTACTCAAATTTTGTTCACTGATAAACAACAATCACGCTAAATAAATCTTTGGAAAATCTTACCTGATGCTATTGACGCTATTCTCCACACAAATACTACCAACTACTCACGCTATCCGTTTGTACCTATTGGCAAATGGCCGCCGTGCTTCACTTTTGTACGTAACGTACTATTGTATGTTCGCAGTCTAGTGTATTATATAGAAGCTGTGGGTATATCGAAGCCGGATTCTCGCGTTGTTGCCATTTTTACCTGCAGCACGGCTAGTTACTATTTAGAGTCGGCTGGGGCCGTGCATTCGAACACCATCGAACACCGGAAAGAGGTATGAACGAGCTGTTGGGTTCGTCGTGGGTGGTCGTGGGTGGTCTGCGAGCGAACGTAACGTGTGTGTGGTCCGATCCACTCCGAGCGTTCGTATGCTGAATGCGGCTGTCGCAGGCGTAGAGGATGCAAGACGCTTTGTTCGAACGGACCGGAGAGCTTTCTCCGTGGCGGAATATAATCGGCGTCTGGTCTTGAACAAAGGGTCCAAAGGTATTATTTTTATTCACGAAACGCATTCGTTGTTTATTTATGCTGCGTGCGTGTTACGTTTTGTTTTTAATAGTGCCGATAGTGTGCCGGGAACTCGCGCATTAATTACAAGATCCAGCAATGAATTACTATAAACTAGTACAGTATTATCGGTTGCTGAACATTATAATTAAATATAAAAAAAAAATAAAAATTTCTTTTTGTTTTAGATGACATTTCTGGTGGTCTATTGTTTTCTAATCTTCCATCAAATTTCGTCGGAATTGTCGCACGGTTTCGCTGGAAATTCCAATGATGAAAACAAAACATGGAACAGCATGGAGTTAAGTCCCAGACACAGGATCAAGGACTCCAGCTACCTGTTAGACAGGTATCCTATAAGGGAATTACCATCTGATCCTTTGAATTGTCGAAGACCAGCAAAATGTGTGGAGTTAGAGAAGAACACATGCATGGGTACAAGATTACCATATACTTCAACCACATTAGATCTTATACCTGAACACATAACTCAGGACATGATAGAGGTATATTAAAAAGAACATAAGTAGTTTTACATTAAATTTATACTTCTTACATGGTTTATTTATTGGGATCAAAAGGCAAACCAATAAAAGAGAAAAGATACTTTTTTCTTTTGTACTTATGTACCTGATGGCTCAGGTATAAAAGGGCCTTATTTAAAGCCATCTCAGGTATTTCTTAGCTTCAGCAGTTCTTATACCCACATGATTTACAGTTATTTTCCTTTGCAATCTTCTTTGAAGTAAGCTTTTCACAATTAGTTATGATTTGTTAAAGAAGTATCTGTCTATCTAGACTTGAATTGTCATAACATATTGTTATTTTATATTACAGGAAAGATTGCATGTGTTACAAGCATTAAGACATATACCAAAGTGCTGGGCAGTTGTTCAACCCTTGTTATGTTCAATATTCATGCCAAAATGTATCAATGATACAGTAGACTTGCCCTCTCAAGAAATGTGCAAGATTGTTTCGGGACCTTGCAGAATTGTGTTCAATCAAACGATATGGCCAAATTTTATCAAGTGTGAAAATACAGAACTGTTTCCGAAATTATGTAAAAATGATATTAGAGAACTGAAATTTAATATTTCAGGCAAATGCCTGAAGCCTTTAGTTCCAACCGATAATGCACTTGCAATCTTTGAAGGAGTCGAAAGTTGTGGAACACAATGCAATGACCCGCTGTTTACACCGGATGAGCACAAGCAGATTCATTCCTTCGTTGCTTGGGCTGCAGGAATCTGTGGTTCATTCAACTTGTTTACAGTTGTAAGTATAGCTAAAAAAAGGAATTTCGTCTGTATAAGTCAATCTCAAGCATTCTCATCATTTCAGGTAACATTTTTAATCGATTGGAGAAGTGCAAATAAGTATCCGGCATTAGTCATATTCTATATAAACTGTTGTTTTATGGTATCTTGCATTGGTTGGCTTGCACAATTCATGTCAGGAAGCAGAGAAGTGATTGTATGTCGTAAAGATGGAACATTAAGAATGAGCGAACCTAGGTAACTACCAGCTATATGTACAACAATTTCCTGTACGTTTTTAAGATTGTCAGATTAAGCGTTAATGAAACTACGAATGTACTTTCAGTGGGGAAAATTTAATGTGCGTTGTAGTATTTGTTCTCGTATATTATTCTCTTACGGCAGCTATGGTGTGGTTTGTGATACTGACATATGCCTGGCACATGAGTTTTCAAGCACTGGGCAAAATTCAAGACAGGATCGACAAGAAGGGTGCTTATTTCCATTTAATTGCCTGGTGTTTACCACTTGTCCTAACTGTTACTATCATGGCATTAGGGGAAATAGATGGCAACAGCGTGACTGGTATATGTTTCGTCGGTTACGCTAACCATACAATTAGAGCCTGGTTTTTACTTGGTCCTGTGTTGATTGTTTTACTAGTTGGAGGATATTTCTTATCCAGAGGTAGGTTTTATGTTTATTTTTTCTTTACATGAACTTTTTATTTTGGGTAATGAGTTCTTTTTGTTTTCTTTCTATGCTTTCCTAAAGACTGTAGTCTGTAAGTACTTTCCTTGTTTGATGGCAGTAATTGCTCAAGACTCAAATCCTCTTTCAATAAGAACAGATTTAATATTGTAACATTTTTAGGGTTGATTACCCTGATTCGATTGAAGATTACCAGCCAGGAAATTATATCCGAAAGAGCAAGCGCCAAAATACGCGAGACTATTGTGCGCATGGGTCTATTTTCAATTTTCACGTTTGCTGCGGTTCTGGTGACATTTTATTGTCATATTTATGAATTCCAACATTCCTGGAAATGGCGTCAGAGTTTCAGAAATTATATGATGTAAGAATGACTTTACTGTCACGAGATTGTAGATAAAATAAAAACTCTGCTAATCTTCGTTGCATTGGTCATCCACAGATGTGCAATAACGACAAAATGCTTAGACATTTCTGAATGTAAAATGGAGGTCCGACCAAGTGCCGCAAAAATGCAGTTGCACTTACTTTTGCCTTTTTTCTCCGGTATTCTCATGTCTTCCTGGGTTTGGACTAGTTCAACCGTAGACACATGGACCAGGTTTCTTAGACGGTAAGACTCTACTTTCTTTTTACACTCATCTACTAAAATACTATTTTCTCTGCTACATTGTTGATCTATTACTTCTCAGTACTTTCAATTGCGAGACTGAAGAACCAATCCGACTGAAGAAACATAAAGTAATCGCTCAAGCATTCGCAAAGAGAAAAACATTTAATAACGCTGGTCGCCTGTCCATCAGTTTTCACAATACACACGAGGATCCGGTTGGCTTGAACTTTGATCTAAATTCTGTGGCCTCTCAAGATTTCAGTTCGACATGGGCTGCCGCTTTGCCAAAATTAGTTACACGTAGATGCGCTTTGGTAGGTGGAACAGGTTCCGTGTCCAGCAACCGAAGGAACTCTATAGACTCTGAAATCAGTTTCAGTGTGCGCCGAGTATCGGTGGAATCCAGAAGGAACTCTTTAGATTCTCAGATATCTGTGCAAATAGCTGAGCTAAAGACAACACGAAAGGTAGCGAGCAGTTCGCGCGGTCGGCGTGTAAAACGCCGTCGAGACTTCAGAAAGTCAAGATCAGGGAAAGTGGGCCCGTTGTTTAGAAGAGGTAGTACCACGTCACAAGAAAGTCAACTTGGTGCACAGATATTATCAGCATTAACTATAGGCGGTGACTCGAGAGTACCAGCGATTCAGGTGCCGAATATGAAGAGACGATCGGCTATCACTGGCTTGGACGAACGTACTTTGAATCCAAAATTATTCGACGGAAAGAATGTGAACACACTTTTGCCGTTCTTATTCCCAAGACACAGCAATAGCGAAGACGCCAGCAGCGAGAAGCAACACCAGGGGTTCACAGGAAAGGACATAGACATCGAAGGAGGGAACATTGAAAAGGATGATCAGGAGGACCAAGAAAGCGACAGCGATGAGAGTCAACTAGAGGAAGAAACGAAAATGTTGGAGCCTGAGGAACCACACGAGCGTAGCAAGAGTAAAACTAGCAATAAGAGCTCCAAAAGTTACGAGAGTGTTAGAAGAAGTAGAGAGGGTCGTAGGAGTAAATATTTCCTCCAGGATGATAGCATTTTGAAACACCTGTTTCAAGAGTCCAACGATATTAAATTGAAAAACGATAACGATATAATAGAAGCGTATAAAAAGGCTGGAATGGGAAACTTGGCGTCTAGTCTTAACTCGTGTTGTCCAGAGCTGACGCGACTGAAACAGCCAGATTTGCAGTCCGCCACTGCTCGAGAAATGGCGACGCAAACATCACTGCCGTTAGACATTTTAGAAATGGAGGAGTTGAAGCAAAGCATCGACGAAATCATCAACAGTCGGCATTGTAGTTCGAAAGGAACACAGATTTCGCCACAATTAGGCAAGAGCAAAAACATCGCCGTGTAACTGACTACTCCGAAATAGATTAAGACTCGACGAACTGTTCCTCTCAATATTTTGTATTAACTGCGCTGCTATTTCCTTTCTTAATTACTACAGTGAATCTTCCTTTCCTGACTTTTACCTGCGGTGACAGTGTTTTCTATCGACGAAATCGAATCCGTACGACAGTTTAATTAGTGCCAAAATCGTATAATATTTGTAGTTTTATTTGTAACTCGCGATTGTGTATATTTAAACGTGCAATAGAATAACCTCGATATGTAAATAACTCGGATACAGCCACGCATTTTATAACTTTTATACGTTTTATTACTGTTGAAATAGAAATAAGATCTCGATCTAATAGTAAAGTAAAATAATTCGATATCCATGACACTGAGAGTACACATGTATCACAACAGTCTTTTTTTGTATACAGAACAATTTAAATTTAGCTTTAATATTGTTATGTACATTACAGTTTTGCAATGTGTACATCTTACAGTACTTAGATTATATACAAATATTTTTTACGAACATTTTAGATTTTTTATTACTACCTATCATGATAATGGTAAATTCGTTTAAAATTACATGAAATACAACATTTGGAGATAACAAATTCTCTTACAAACGAATAATTAAATTTCTAAAGATTACTTTAAAAGCATTTATCAGCAATTCATTTTCATAAAAAGTAATTTTCTTCCCTAAATATGACGTATTAAATGTCAAAATGCCACCATTTGTTAAGGTATTAATTAATAATTTTGCAAAAATAAAAAAAACTTAAATATACATAAGTGCTTTGATTTTTGCACTCTATTGGTAATACCTGCAAAAATTTACTTTAAGATTCACTACACATGTAGTGTGAGTGATATAAAGAGTGTTGACTGAATTCTCTAAAGATAATAACACCAAAAAATATTAGAAGATAAAATTAAAAGAAAAACTAGTTGCCTTAGGATCTTCAAACTTTCAGGCATTAAAAAAATAATGAAAAACACATTTAAAATTTTCCAATTTTATGTAACAATATGTTTCGATATCATTAATATTCTGAAATATATTCATTCACCACGCTATATATGCCTCACCCTTTATAATTATAGAAAAGGTCTACCCGTTATCGATAATTGATACCCAAGGAAACTGTGTCCGTTCTGCTCTAAATTATCCATAAAAACCGCAATCCCACATCGACTTACACCATGAACCTTAATTTAACTCAAGTCCTTCGAGTCTGTTAACGGATAAATATCGCATACTTCCCAAATTGACAAACGTCCATCGAAAGTAACAATTTTTATTCAACTCTGTCCAGAGATAACAAAAAGTATTAACAAACTCTGTACTTTCCATCGGCTAAGTGTCTTATTTTTGTACTCTATATAAAAAGGGAACTGTCGAACTTGATTCTGCGAGTATCTGCGAGTGATTCGCCAGCAATAGCGACAGAAAAAGGTTATTTCGCTTTAAGTGAATCCTCCATGCTCAAGCTCACGACGGCGTCATCACCCCAGTGAATGAGATTACTGATTTCTCTGATCGGTCTGCGATATCCCGGTCCTCTTGCTTCATCCTTTCACGCTTTCAAATCTGGTCCGACACTCTCAGCTACGTATTTTTTTCCTATACTCGGTACAAATAGATCCCGATTTTAGTGTCGAGAAAAAGCATGTAGAGAATGAGTCTATAACATACGCTCCCAACACGCGTGTATCATACATAATATAATCCACACATGTAACCACAATTTGTTGTTCCTCTGTACCATGTGTCCTTCGATTTTCATTTTTAATTCATTTATTTTCGTGTTTATTGTCATGATAACAAAGGTCAATCGACCGTACAAAATGTAATTGTGTATTGCATCGTGTGTACGAATTTAACTTCCACCTTTAAGTGTCAGAACGTTATCTCAGTATGACATTGCATATTAAACTAATATTGTTTAAGTAATATTTATTCGAGACTTGATACTTTTATAAGTCATCCGGGTTTACTTCACATGCGATAAATGTTCTAACATTTCTGGGCAGGAGTGTACGTACATGGTGTTTTCTATTTATTTACATCGCTATGAACATTAGGCACTATTCAATGTGTAGTGTGTCGAGTTACAATTAGTTTCCCCTTTTGCAACGCGTATATGAGAAACAAGCCGCGCAAGGAATCATAACCTACATGCTTCAGCGACCCAACCCTCGCGAGCGAATAACCGAGACTGCATTGTATCGTTTCTTGAGCTTTCCATTTGAAATACGCGCTTCTTTTTGCATGCACGTTACGAGCGTATTATATTTTCAAGTGATTCATCCGAGTAACACGTGCATGCTGTAATGGGGTATGGAGAGGGTAGAGAATATTTTATTTAGTTTTGTTTTATTCACCACCACCACCACCTTGGAGGAGGTCGAATGTGATCGAAGGCAGTATCTAACCACCGGGCGAGGCTACTTGCTCTTGGCATGAGACTTTTGGTGTTTAGTGTATTCGTTACCCCAAATTAGGTTATCCAGTGTCTGTCCAAGGAGATACAGGATTACAGTGAGTAACACCGCTGACGCCATGAACATAATTCGCAATGGCACTGTCAGCACTGCCATTATGGGATACACCCAGATGCCACTCTTGTAATAGATTATGTGCATCCTGAAATACATATTCGTTAATAAGGTTGATAACAGTTAATTTGATCAGCTCGGCAAGAGCACCTAATCCCAGATAGCACATGACGCCTTGAAAACGCCCCTTTTACGGCTATTTTAGGTCTAAGGAGCCTTTAAGACATCTTCAAGGCGTCATGTGCTATCCAGGATGAGTCCTAACTTTCTAAAAAGTGTTAGTGCCTATAATTCAATTTACTACAGGCATCATGGTAATGCCATGCATAACTTTTGAGAAATCTACGTGTTATACAGATTTAGTAGTAAAATTTCCATACCAAATCATGTAACAGCTTAGCAAGATACAAAGTCCAAACAGTCCATTCGATCGACTTGGGTATTTTCTTGGCGCTAGTATTATCTCTATCATCGTCGAGACCATGATCATTGTGTGCATTAAATGATTTAACCACCATGGAAAGTAAGGGTCAACGGCTTTTGGGAATACTAATTCGCGATCTACGGCCATCAATCCCCAGAACACAATTCCTACAAACTGTAACGTGAACCAAGGACATAAAGTATGTAAACACGAGAATCATTATAATAGTTAGATATCCCAGATAACACATGATACCTTGCAGACGCTCATTTTACACCTATTCTATGTCTAAAGCGCCTTCAAGCCGTCTTTAAGGCGTCATTGGGCGTCATGTGCTATCTGGGATTATAGCTGGTATTTTCGCGAAATCATGCTTCAAGTGGAAGGTCATTTATTTCGTATGGTGAATCCTTACCATTGCGACCGGAAAACTGAAGGACGCAAACGTATAATCCTTTAGTTTCCGTATAAACGGCGGTTTCTTCGGATTTACAGCATTCGTGCCGAACCAATCGTTCAGCATACATATGAAGAAAAATACCGCTTGAATTATCTGAAACATGTAGGTGCAAGCATTACAACATGAATTAACGGCGAAAGTAATGCAAAATTCTTTCATTTAATTTCAATAAAAGAAAAAGATTTCACTTAAAACCCTCAACTGACTTTTTGGTTGTGGTCACCCAGATAGCACATGACGCCTTGAAGACGCTCGTTTTACGGTTATTTTACGTCTGAGACGCCTTTAAGCCGTCTTCAAGGCGTCATGTGCTATCTGGGGACGGAAACCCATGAGCAAGGTGTCATTTTTTAGAGAATCAATAGAGAAGTGTATCAACATTAGTGGTTTTGTGCGGAAACCACAGGTAATTTGAGAAAATATTTTTTTTCCTTAAACTGTCTCTAACCAACACAGAATCAGTTTGGAACTTTTCGGGACATTCTTCGAATGAATGCTGTTTGGAAATTTACATAACTAGTTGTCACAATAATATGGTTAGGCTGAATCGCGAGGAAGAGTTATGTAAATACCACGATTTCATCGGTGAGACAATCTTGCAAGTCCGATGCAAATGTTACACAACCAAGTAATCTTTCTTGAAAATTGATGTTAATATTCAAGATCTCATTACTACATTTCTTTCTGTGTTTTACGCATAAAAGGATGTAAAATAATTCCAATTACGAATTGCTTGAATTTTGCCTTTAGTGAAAAATCCTAATTATCACACTTGATTATGAAATGTTTTTATATACCATCTCCAAAAAAATCGAATTATTATGCTTTAGATATACCTATAACGACCAAAAGTTATTTAAATGCACTCGCAGGATAAGTACTCGAGCTCCGAAGTTTGGACCGAGATCTAGATAAAACTTCTTTATACTTATGTATAATATGCATTTGGCATACTATACTTTCATACCGAGCGGGGATTATAGTTCCACCAATGTGGGAACTATAATTGTACATCACACGTGTACGAAGAAACAATATCGTTCGTTGATGGTGCAGGTGAGTGAAGGTACAAGATAACTTGAATATAGTTACTGTATTGTAAAAAAATACGAATCCAAATTGCGACCGTTACGATATACAAAATACTACGTTCTCTGTCTTTAAAGTATTACTTATTTCATGACTGCTTGATGATATTATAACTACGGTAGTCATAGCTTATTTATATCCCAGATAGCAGAAGACACCTTAAAGACGCCCATTTTATGGCTATTTTAAGTCTAAGGCGCATTTAAGCTGTCTTCAAGGCGTTATTGGGCGTCTTATGCTATCTGGGATTAGTCAGGTCACACGACCATGAACGGATTAAATATGATTTTCCTACAAACAATCAACATCATTGGAAAACGTATTTTTACTGAAAAATTGAAAAATGGTATTTCTTCAGACTCAGCCCAGATAGCACATGACGCTTAACGACGCCTTGAAGGCGACTTAAAGGCGCCTTAGACCTATAATAGCCGTAAAATGGGCGTCTTTAAGGCGTCATGCGCTATCTGGGGACTATACTGAACGTGACTATACAAAATGCATATATGCTTTGATAAATGTTTTTTGCAAAAGGAAAATAAGATTCTAATTATGAAGTGTAGTGTCAATTATAAGGAAAACATTTCAAGTACTAACATTCAACATTCACTTGGTCGTAGACAAGGTACATGTGTGACGCGTGCTGTAATTTGGAGATGACATGTAGTAGTGCTCAAGTAATTGAACTCGTCACTCTTCTCTAAATTACTTAGCTCTTGCAGTTGAACGTGAAATGGTCATGGGGTCATTAATTGTAAACGAATGGCCACAATAATATGTAGTTTTTTGATTCATATTTGTACCAAATGAATTAATTGAATCTTTTTCTTAAAATTAACTAAATCCTGTTATTCGAAGAAAATAAAACTCTGCATTACTTTTATATAGGGTATTCATTAATATTTGATCGTAACATCAGGAATGAAAGGGATGCACAAATATTGTTAATAATAATTAATTCAATTATTAGAGTTTCTGAAACGCAAACACTTCTAATTCGAGGGAAAGGCCAACATTGAATAAATGTTCATACAAAATATCTGGTATTACTCCTACGATTAATTCATTCTTCAATTTACATGTATCCGTATACTCAAAAATCATCTATGTACTTATACTAACGGGGTTCATTAATTAAATTCTCTAAAAGACAATTACTCATTATTATAACAACTCTAATTCTCCCCAGTTTTCCTAATCAAGTATAGAAACCGTCATTGCATAACACCGTAATAAGGACGTGGTACAATCGCTGTTATAATCATCGTGCGGTCTACGCAAAAAAAAAAAAAAATATTGTAATGATACGGTACAGTTCATCGTAACCACTAGTCATAAAACGTCAATTATCGAACTTTTATTTATTTATCGTTTAATAACAGCAGATTTGAAAAAGAACGGGTATGCAAATTTTTTCACAAATTACCGACTACCAAGATCAAAAAGGACAACGGTCAATTTAACTGTGAAATTTATTCAAAGTTGCTACCTGGTTGCGTAAGATTGGTGATAGTGTCAACCATCCAATTACATAAAAATCTACGTCATTGCATATCGCAATACTAACCGCGTCCCAGAATGTAAGAAACTTGAATTTCCCGCCGTAGCCGCTGAACATTTTGGTAACCTGGTGTGGCACGACTACGTGCATGTAATCGTAATACACTGCGAAAGTGAATTGCACACACGAGAACACGTGGACTACAATCAGTAGACTGTCCCGCATCTTAAAGGTGTCTCAGATTTCCGTGTTCTGAAAATGGTTCAACCACTTTCCATAACAACGATCGTTCAATCAAGAGAAATGTACGAGCGAGATAAGTACTCGTTTTGTCGAAATCTATTGAAAAAAAAATAGGAGACGATAAGTAGGAATAAACTCTGGAAAATTAGCTAAAACGCTCTTAAAAAAAACTCTTGTCCTAATGTCAAAGTTTTCAACAGTATTAAACAATTTCGTTGATACAGTTCAATAAAAGCCGTTAGTCATTACAATATGTCTTACTATCTTAATGTCGTCTTTCTAGTCCATCAGTAGCATGAATAAGACAGATAAGAAGAAAGGACTGACTGGTTTACTTGGTAATTACACGAGCATGAGAGCATGTCTTAATATGTTTTTCTTTTGGATAACTCGTCTTCATGATGGTGAGACTTCTTTTCGCGGCAGCAAACATCGGATCGCGAATTCATGAATTTAAATATAGAACTATTGTCGCACAAAAAAGACTTAACACCGTTAGATTTTTATACTTGGATATACTTCAAAACAAATGTGTACAAAATTAATGTTAGGGATGTCAGGATCTAAAACATCGCATTACCGACGCAACAAAACGTATTTCATTTGACATAGTTCGCAACGTCTTTCGTGCTACACTGGAACGTTGGCAGCAGTGTTAGATAGCAAGCGGGGTTAAATTGACATCGTTAAAAACCACCTTGTACATATACATATATATGCAATATATTTATCTCATTTCAGTCGTATCATTCTTTCTTTAAAATGGATTGAAACTTTCCGAGCACCTTTCTTCAATAATAAAATACTTTCAGATATGTATGGCGTATGGCAATATTGTGAATTTATATTAATATTTAATATTACTGAACATTTAATACTACGAAACATTTTACATGGTATATGTAAAATAAAATGTAAGTGTAAGATGAAAAAACTTTCACATGAGCAGGTGCACATTATGTTTACAATTTACGTAACGAAGTTGCTCTCGAATTACGTGAATTGTACGTAACAAAGTTGTATCACATGAGATACTGTGTTGAGCTGTAAGTGTAGCATTATTCGCACCTATACTCGACCGAAAAGTGTTTTTTATACACTTTGAATGTTCTACTACATAATTTACTCACATAATGTATAGATTAAAAAGTATATGCACTGATAAGTAAATAAACACACATTTGCATTCGACATAGCATAAAATAAACTAAATAATGCTTAGTTATTAAGAATTCGTGGACTATTAATGATTACAATAAAAGTACATAAAATTGCACTTTTATATTCGTTCCAAAGCATTCCTAACTTTTATATATGTTATATTTTTAAATTTATATTTCATTTACAATCAAACGTAACTCTTTGTAGTGAACAAAAATTGTTCCATTTCGACTTTTGATGAATTTACCGACAAAAATACAACATGTATTAATTAAAAGATCTCTATCAATAAAGCAGTTTTATAAAATTATTTTGTTGTTTTATAAATGTATGAATATAATATGGTTCACGATTAAAGTCCACATTTTTCCAATAATGTCTGTTCCCTAATCTGACCATTGATATAAAAAAATAAATAAATTGACATATGTAATTTGAACACTGAATATCCCAATGCATATTTTATTCTTCGATAAAAATATTAAGTTTCGAAGCAGGTAAATGAAAACAAAAGTCCGTGAAGTACATGAACACGAGAAATCCAATTTTAATATGCTACTTCACTGTCCAGAAACGAATAAGAATATTTTCCAATAGATGTGTACGTTCTGTCAAAAGTCATCTAACAGTCATCTATCAACGGATGTCGTTCGTCGATATAGCGTCCACGAGTCGAGATACCTTCGTATTTCGGAAACAACCGTTTCTCATGCGTTTTCAATTTTTAGTCGATCCACGAGTCGTTCTATCAATTACGCGTGTGTTGCGATGAAAATTCGCCACTTTTCACAGAATAACACTTCGGTTTTTTCGAGCACATGTACGGCCCGCGACAACAGTATCGACCGCGACGATGGTCTCCGACTTACTAACGGATAGGCGAAAATACAGCCGAGAGAACGAGGGAAATAGTTCGGCATGTGCGTGAGTCTGCAATCCAGAGGAAGCGAGATGGCACAAGAGATTCACGCTATTATGGGCGAAAGTACGACCAGACAGATGGTTGGTAGAGAGGGAGGAGACGAAACCGTATAGGCACTATAGGCACGCGAGGCGGGAGAAAAATCCGATGGCAATGTGTGTGACCACAAGTTCGTTACTATCGCGTTCGTTGTATCTGTTATACTTGGCAAAGATAAATGTATTGTGGCCGTAAAATGAACTCCGATCTAACGTACATTACTCATGTTTCGGATAAAATAATGAACAGAAATACCGAGTGTGAAGGGACTTGTGTCTCACTTAGTCTAAACTTTGAGTCATACACTTACTTAAGTTTTTACTGTTTGTATACAATCTGAATGGAGGTATTCACGTAGAAAAAGGAATGTTGCAAATTGTAAACAAAGTTTGTAGTTTTCCTGTTAGCAAGAAAATTACAATTAGATATTGGTATTATTTTTTTCAGTGGCTAAAATAAAATCATATTGCAATTCTATGCCCTGATATTAACAGGACTAACACGTAAGCATTGGCGTAATTAGAACTTTTTTTGGAGGGGCCCAAGTCCCCCGACTTTCGCCCATAACACTCCCCATCAGGCATCTATGTAATTTGTACCACGTGTGTGGGTTGCACAAAATAAATTTACACATTTTATATACACAATAATTATTTACAAATTTGTTTAATACTAAAACTTAGAATAGAAGAATATAAATTTAATTCTTAAAAATAAGAGAAATTTGAGATTGATTAAAATCAAGAGTATATTAGGTATATGGAGATACCTATAATTAAAATTTATCATATATAAGTTTCAATTTGCTGTTTTTTTTTCTGCAAAAGTATTTAGCACACTCTCGAGCGCTAGTTCCCTTAATTGTATCCTACCCTTCAATTGATGTTGCAGCATTATTAGTTACGTAGAATGTAAAAATTAAATAGCTTAATTCTAATACAATTTTACTTAATACGTTAACGTAATGAGAATTGTATTGTATTTTTTCTATTTACTGGCGTTGCGTATTGCATTTCGACCCATGTATTTATTTTTTATAACATAAGATTTTACTAACTGACGAATTTTTTTTTTATATATTTCCATAACTTTCAGACTACCTAGTTACGTCAATGCATGTAACGTGTCTACAACAGCATTATGTATGTACATATTATATTCATATCGTTTCCACAGTTCATAACAACAGATCGTGAACAGTGATTTAACTTTTTTTCCCAAGTATAAAATTAGACGTGACAACATACTTGAAAACAATACTCGATGAACTTCTTTTTATCGTCACTATGTACACGTACCTCATCTTACGTTTCCGAGAATACTGTCATCAGGAAGAAAATAAGTAGAGAGTGTATGATGTAGCGTGGGAATAGTACAAAATGAATGTACAGATATAAGATCGTGAAAAGTAAGAGAGAAAAATGCATACTTCTAGTATGGTACGTACTCTCAAACGTATACGTTACGTATGTGTAATAAGAAGGTACCGGAAGTGAATGTGTACGCTGTTGTCGTAAAATATTCGTAATGCGTTACGTCTGTATCATCAAACAACTACAGGCAAACTTGTTTCAACTTGCGCTTTCTAATTGAAGTTTAAATGTGTGGGGTCCTTTCGCTGAAACATGTCGCGTGTTTACACGGCAAGAGACGAGAGATCGAAGACTACAGGGAAACGATTGCTGCAACGCCGTTACGTGTTTTTCGCTACGCACTATATTGTACGACAGCTTATAGCATACGCGTAGAATCGTTCGAACTGACTGGTCTAAATATCCCTACCAATTAATTTTGACTAGATGAATATCTTCCCCGTAACATTAATGGTGAATGGTCAAATTCTGGAATAATAAAAATGAGGAAATCTCTAGGTATTTTGTTGAAGTAAAAAAATTGTAACAATTAGTCTTTATTCCCGACTGTATGTAAATATGCATATCGCACACATGAGACAAAAGTGACACAACTAAAAAAAAACAGGTTTTAAGTTGTCTCACCTTCGTTACAAGTGTACGATATGAATTAATATGCCGTAAATAAGAACGATTATAGCTGCAAATTGTTCAGCAAATGTTTAAGGAGATATACGAAAAGGAAGTCCAGTGAACACGTTCTATTTTATATAATATGATAACCATTACATAACGTTGACTGAATTATGGGGCCCAAGGAAATACCTTTGCTGAAAACCAATGTAAATTCTGATTGGATGGAAAATATTAAGTCGATGAGTAAGGACTTTCGCTTTCTAATAAAGATAAAAAATAAAATCAAGCAAATTACAACAATAAAAACACTGCGTTCAATAAAAAGTGAATTTTAAATAAAGTAAACGTTAACTTTATTTTTAACATATACTTATAAGATCAGGACTTTGTAGAATATATTCATTATTTAAAGAAATATTCAATACAGTTGTTACTCCCAGTGGTAATTCAACTGTGACCCTTGCAATTGGTAGACATTGAAAGTTTGTTTCGATTCAGATGTCACTGCATCGAAAACAATGAGTACTACAAAAGGAGTGTTATTCAACAGAGAACTCTGCAGTATACCATACATCAATCACGAATACGTGTGACCACATACGATGCACATATACAGAAGCAAATCTAATATTGCTTGCGAAGTCCGTACACGAGTCAGAGATAAATATGGCGCCATCTACCGACACATGCTCGACATTGTAGATCGTAACGCAAAACACCTTACATATTTCTAGCATTTAACAACCGTTTAACAAACGACAAACTGTTTCATTGACAAACTAAATAAAGCTGACTGAAAATAAGTTAAATTAGTATTACTAATACTTATTTATGTATACATGAATACAATGCGTGCGTAATAATTGGCAAAAAATATGATTATAATTCGTAGCACCTAAACGAAATGTCACGTCTGGTGCCGGTTCGAGCACCTGTGAATTAACAAAAATTGTGTTTCAAAGGTTATTTCACGAAGAGTATTTATAGCAAGTAAAAAAAAGTGTTTGCATTTGTATTAATGTTTTAAAAAATTTCATTACTCTATCTTATCTGTAGAGAGCTTTCAAATAACGTATGTATTTCGTGCTACTTGTATATGGTTCGTTCTATTCAATAGATTGATTATTACAAGACTCTAATGTGTAAATACATTTTCCATTCACTGCATACGTTTCTGCAAAGTGTAGTAGTCAAGCTACTTTTATCACTTCAAAATTGTTTCAACGCGCCGTAATTAGCGTAATGTCAACGTTTGGTTGTTTAAAATTTGCAGAAGTAAAATCCTGAATACTACCAAGGGAATGAGAATGTGCGACTTACCACACCCCATATCGTCAGGTATTTCAATTGTCCTGGATTGTACTTTTTGAACGCAGACATCTCAATGGGTATGCGAAGCTGGAACCCACTGTACGTCGTGAACACATATGTCAGGAACATCGCCGTGTGGAACAATTGGTTTACTGTATACGCCATGTTGCCGAGCCGCTGCAAAACAGAAAGCAATTTGTCAAATGGATGCGTCCATTTCAGGCAAACCCGTCTTTTACTGAGCTTGTTGCGATTGCTTCTGTAGCCCCCCATGTTCCCTCTCGGGTTTTCGGTTGTGATGACGTTGTAGGTTAGGTTCAACTGACAATCGGCAATCAATAGCCCGAATGGGTTCTCTGCCATTGTACGAAATAATATTTTACTTATTTTCTACCTGCAATGACGAATACCGGTACGTTATATTTTGTTGATGTCCTTCAATAAAATATAATCTAAGATATGAATAATATCTTTAGTAAATTATTTAATTGAGAATTTTTTGAACTGAATATTATTTTTTAATTCACACCGAATATTGAAATGCATTTTGTTTGAAATATTTAGGCATGTTTAGCATATCACTGAACCTACATCAAATTTTCATCACAAATCATTTTTTAGGGGGAATATTTCCTCAAATTTACGAAGATTTAAAAGTATATATTAAAAGTATATATTAAAATTAACAGGTGTCGTATTAGCATTTACCATCGATGGCTGGACTTCGAATTCGATACAAAATTATATACTTCTAACACTTCATTACATAACTCAAAATTTTGAATCACATAATTATACTTTAAATTTGCAACATTACTAGAAACACACAGACATAGATATATTCAATGTTCAGTAGGTATATTAAGTTCATTAACAACGTGAGGCTTAATCACAGAAGAACGGGCTCGTCTTTACTTCGGATAATGGTCGTAATCTTGTAAAAGCCAGAAATACACATAAGAATGGTGAAATTAACTGTTATGACAGGAATGAAGAACTTTGAACAATATGAGATAATACGTAAGAAATGTCACAATGTAGTTGCTTCACGTTCAATATCTGTCAGAGAAGAAAGTATGACAATACAGAAATCTATAACCCCGAACACAATGCCCCTGCGACTAATACAAATGGTAGATCCTCGTTGGATTTAATTTACATTATGTTTAAAAGATTGAATCTATTGCATACGTCCTTAAATACTGTATTATGCCATGGACATGTGCTGTAGAACTTAAATGTAGAGGAATGATACTTTGTACAAGCTCTACTAACACTAAGAGGATTCGAACCATTTAAGAGGGTAGTCCCATTTCGATGGGTAAACAAATTGTTTTTTTTAATCACATTTTCTTAAAGTACAACATTTCGAACCTACGTAAAACTCTAAGCCTGCATTCGACGAAATGACAAAGCTACAACGATTTCAAGAAAGCGCTGCACAACTAGAACTAATTTAACTGCTCTTTCTACGGTAAATATTTAGAAGAGGGGAGACAGTTCCGATGACCTTGACTTGACAAAGATATATCTTCAAGGTCACCCTTCTTAGTGACCCTTAGAAGTTTCTAGTCGTCTCCCATTATTTGTTAAAAAGTAATACTTAAAGTACCTTAATACTTAAAAAATACTTTAAATACCTGGCATAAACATTATATTAATAGCATATTTGTTTCCTTAAGTGATTGCGTGGGCAGGCGAGAGACCTCACCCCGGAAAAAATCTAACCCAAACCTAATCTGACTTTGTTTCTGATTAAATTAAAACGAAATTTGGGTTAGTTTAGGGTTAAGTTTTTCTCGGGGTGGGAGTGCAGGGAGCTGTTGGGGTGCTGGCCGTCCACGCAATCATTTAAAGAAACAGATATGCTAATCATATAATGTTCGTTGAATGTCATAACAGAGCCATCCTCTCTTTTAACAGTCGGTTTTATGCAGTTCTCAATTAATTGTTCACCCATTCGACACCGAGCATGTGTCTTTCCATTTGAACCGAACAAATTGAACTTTGATTCCTCGGTGAAAATGACTTACACTGTTCTTGCGTCCAGTTGATGTGATCTCTAGACGTCTTGACGCGTACTTTTTACTCAAATTCATTGATTGTTCACAGTCAAACTGTCTCAACGTAAATTTTTGTATTTTCAGAATACGCTAATAAGAATCTATAGAATGATTAGATATTTCAAGCTGACAACGATCCCAAACAAACGTCGTGACATGCGAAAAAGTTCATGAACGATCATAATGTTAATGTAATAATGTGGCTGGCATAATCCCCAGATTGAAACCCCATTAAGACATAGTGGACTGATGTAGAATGTAGAGAAAGCAGTTAAACAAAAAAAACGGTCAATTAAAATAAATTATATGAAGTCGTCCAAGCGCATGGACCATCACTTCTGTTGAACGTTGTACCGACTCCTCTCGATTATCGTCTCGAACTCGGATGATGGGGATAACCAGGGCCAACCAGGGCCGTTCCTGAGTTGTTGACCGCCCGGGTGCTATCGATAATTTAATATTATTTAATTAAGAATGTGATATGCAGTCTTTGGTTTTGTATCTACATATATACATAGTTTTTAAACATTTATCATTCAAAAGGAATATTTCTTCATTTATATTTTCATAAAATGAAACAAAAATCCTTTAAAAAAAATTGTTTTATTTATAATTAATATTTTATTCCACATATAAGTACAAAACTAACGTATAATGGTTGTAATAGTGATGTTATAGTTGATAACCAGCTACCATTAATTACCTACACGAATTTAATCTAATAAATATGGCTAAATATCTTATGCTATTATAGGCTGTCTATACTCATATACAAGTGATGTTAAAAAAATTACATATAAAATTAATTTGATTGAATTCCATTTGTCTAAAATTTTCAGAATCATAAAAAGTCTTGATTGTTATTTTTACTAACCAAAATTTTACATATAATAAACGATATGCGACCGTTCCTGGATTTGGTCGCCCACGTGCGGCGGCACCTTTTGCACCCCCGCCAGGAACGGCCCTGGGGATAACGCCTGGACATTGGACAACAATGGCGTAGAACAAGCCAGATTATAATCGAGAGGAATCTGTATACACAAAATGTTAACAACTATGATGCTACGGGAAATATTCTTGAAATAACTGCTATTGCGTTCTAAACGTGATGTCGAGTCACACTCGACATAAGACCGCAAAAGGTTAATTTGAATCAGTCCACGCAGAAGTAAATTCAATAAACAATTCGAACAAATACAACACGGATGTTACTCTTACAACTTTGCAGACGTTTTACAACCGTATTGTAAACAAACGTGTTATCATTACGATAGATCTACAATCTGTGAATGAGCGTCGAATGTTTGTGAGATAATAGGAATGTTAGTTTTCGACCTTCAACGTTCATCATCGAAAATGTAACTACTTTTTCAATTTGTTACAAAGCGACGTGTGGTCTGTCGGCCATCACAATTTCGTGACGTTCTTAATGAATTCGCTGATTATCATGCAAGAATATTTCCAGGCTCGATTATGGGAATTGTAATTTCTAATGTGTATACTGTATACACGACCATTTTCTTCAAATTCCTCGCGTTATCTCACCTAACATGAATTCAGTTACTGTAGATGAACACTTTTATAAATAACAATTTATTTCTATCTACTACATATTCAGCAGTATTATAAAACTTTACAATTCTTGCTAAATATAAGAATTGCTTATATTTACGACGGAAGTTGCTCCTCGAAGTCAATGACTAATCGTTAAGGTTAGCACATTATCTGCCCCGATTATAGGGGTCACAGCCGCGATGACCCCTCGCGCCGCCCGCAGGGCAACCGGGCCGAAGGGGTGGTACTGGAGGTACCACCTCTCGCGGTCGGCCCACGAGAAGACAGCGTCGAGACATGACCCCTCGGTGCTGTAGGTAGGAGGTGGAGGGACGGCACCACAGCTGTCTCGGGGGGGGGGAGCAATCGCTACCCCCCTCCCCCAGGGAAGGGCCCTCCCTTAAACACCTATAGGGAGGGCATGTGCGGGGCTGGTCGTGGTCATGCCGAGCGTTCCCGTTACCAGCCCTACGCCACCGGGGGGTTTTTACTGGGTGAAACCCCACATTGGCCGTCTCCGCCCCCAGTGGAGGCGGTGCATCTTTATCAAGGTTCCCCCCCCCCCCGTTAAAAAAAAAAATTATCTGCCCCGATAGTCATCCATGACCTGCGGTATTAAATTGTACGAAAAAACATTCTATTTTTAAACGGTAACATTTACAATGTTGCAAATCTGATGTGTTGTAATGATTCAAAATAATGCGTGATCAAGTCAGCATGTAAACATTTATCCTTAATAGCAGAAGTTAAACAGACGTATTTTATTATTAATATTGTCCCAAAAATCAAAATTTTACGACTCGACATGTTATTTAAGGATATTATTGGAACGATATAAATGGAATATACTAACAATTTCTCGTGGATCACGAAACGAACTATCATTCCGCTGTTCCACTGATATAATGCCAACATTCATGGTTTGAACTTAAGTAACTTACAGCGGAGGTATTATTAAGAGTTAAGTAGAGTCAATGGATACTGATTACAGACAACTGACCTAAGCAACCACTTTCAACGAGTGTTAATAATATTTACAATATAATAAACAAACATTAATAATATTTTCAAAATATTATTTATTAGTTATCGGTGTTAAATATTAGTCATAATTAGATTGCAGATTTTATACATTTGTAGCATAACGGAACATCTGAAATGCATATGAAAATAGAACATGCATCGGGTTTAATATATTTTTGATTTTATTCTGACAAACAACTTCAGAGAAAAAAGAAGTTTTTACTTTTAATCCTATCTTTAAACACTACTTAACAAATCTGAACCTTTTTCCTATCTTCCTAAGATGATTAAAGTTTATCGCAGTGTTTATTCTATTTGCAAAATAGTAGAATCGTTAATACAATAAACAAATTTTCGTTTGATTTCTGTTTCTGTAAATAATATTCGATCCAGTAATGATTGAAAGTTTTTAAACGTTATTAACGCTGTGCATACAATGGGACGTTTTACTGCAATTTAAATATGTATCATCTCTGAAGACCATTGAAATAAAATTACATTTTCTTACATTTCCTTTTCTCCGTTAATTAAGAAAATATTTTGCTGAAGCAGAAACGATCGTAACGCAATAAACATTGTTTCAGTCATGTACTGATTTCAAATTAGCAATGAATCACTCAGTCATCATGTTGAATATCAAAATCTGGCTTCAAGATCAGAAAAGTTGCCGATGTCACTGTCAGAAATAGTTGTACATTCTAGAATCTTGTTAATCAAAACAATGACGTAAATTTTGTCTTCTTAAATCAGATAAAATACAATTTTAAAGAAAGTCAATTAAACGAATACAACATTTCTTAATGTTTTTAATACATATGCAAAGAGACTGATAAATATTAGGTGCAAAAGGTGTGTTGATCTTGTACAAAATTTTATTTCGAATGCAGTTGTAAGGTTATCATATATGTGTTGCTTAATGTTTTCTATTTTCGTCGAAATTCCGTTAAAAAATAATGGAGTTATAATAAAAACATTGTCGAAGTTTTGAAATGTCTTCTGAAGGAAGTTGTTTACTTGTCATATTTTATTCATTAAATTAAATTAGTTTTCCTTGGAAATGCGATAATAACAGATGCTCTTTAAAAGAAAAATAAATCGAATTTTTCCTATCCACTCTCGACGACGTAAATGTGAACATTGTGCAAAGTAACAGGCCACAAATTATCCTCGAGTTACTCCGAGAAACGGTATTAGACTTCTCGACACTAACGAGCAATTAAACTATTTTTATAGATAAATTTAAATGGATTTATAAATTATAGTGATCTAGAAATCAATTTTATTTAACTATCTTTATAAAATCCATCTAGCAATTTAATATCTGTCCTGAGGGGTGAAATGTAATTGTCGAGCATTTTATCTTCAGCAGCAGTGCCATTAATCCGAAATTGAAACAACTGAAAATCGAATTATAGTATTATAACAACGCAATTTTAACGAACTACATAGTGGGACTTTTTGTCCGTATTACGTAATACTTAGCTTCCTTCAATTCTGTATATAATAAAATGTATGTACAAAATTTGTATTTCTCACTACTCAGTTCCGTCTATCTACTAGTGTAATTGGACTCAATTCTCGCATCGTCTCGATCGCACGTTCTGCAGAGTCGTGCAGATTCTTAGACGTGCAATAGGCGTTTCTAAGTTTCACACAAGAAATTATAATGGGATTTATTTAACGGCATTAATGTTTCTAATATACATCAATTAAATAATAAGAAGTGAAACAAATGGAATGCTTAAGTAAATAAAAAGATAATGAATTAATTACGTAAAATACTGAGAAATGTGATGCAATATAAGTGTGTTTTATTTGACTCGTGGAGGAAATCTAACGAATTGCAATATAAGTGCAAATAAAGTGAACAGATCCTAGTTTGACTCCAGTTTCTGTAAACTAACTCCCAAAAATTTATATTTGCATAAAAATCCGCAGTCTACTTATTACTATTTATTGTATTATTAAACGTGTGTCTGTTTCCATAACAGAAGGGGCTCTCTATATTTTGTCAATTTTGTAGAGCATGAAATATTTCACAGAAAGTACCACAACAAATTCCCTTCACAAACAAAAATTCGACGAAAATTCTACTGTTTATGTATTCCTATCTGGACACTTACCTGCAAGGATACTGCATGTATGCCAATAAGTTGAGTGAATCCGTGTGCACGTACCGGTGGAGCTATTCACAATAACCGCACCGTGGATAGATGGCAAGCCTTGTTGATCCACGAAGAAGAACAATTTCGACAGAAAACTGGTCACGAACTGACACCAAACATACCTTACGACTACACTGCATGATGAGTGAGACGAATTTATCGAAGCTCTAGGGAGCCGTTACCTGATTCGTTGTTGGCCAATGTAAATCTTTGGTAGGGGCGCTTGTTATCAGTATGGTCTTCACTCGTGCACTTCCCCCTCCACCCCAACTAGAGTCATACCAATGAGGAAAAACGTTTTCTGGGTAAAGTACGAATGTTCGTTAGAAAACAATGATTTTTCACGCGTGACGATGGAATAAGACTAAATCATTAAGTCATGGACGGTACTCGAACCTTACACTCACAACTTGACGCTCACTGTGACTCGGTTTATAACCGAATGAGATTTAATAACATGTGAGATAAGTTTGTTGCGACACTATGCAACGTTTCTGTTTTATACTATGTATTGCTTTAACGCGTTGATGCATAAATTTTGTAAAAAACTTGTTTACATGATGCGTGGTGTTAAAATGTATTAATAATGACTGCCAATACAGACGTAAGTTTTTATTTTCATGAACGATATGCTAATCGACTAAAACCAAGTGCGATAGCAGTAGGATATTTTACATACTTTGTATTACTGTATGTTTGCTTATACTTATCGTTAGTTTCGTATTTTTAGGTACGTAAAATTGTTCGGTGAATTATGAGTGCCGAAAATGTGGAGCAACAAATATTTTCCGACACTCACAGTAATTATATTAGTGCACATAAACTTTCACTCTGGTAAACTTATGTAATTCCTCCAGTTACTTCTGAGATTAACTTATTAAGAATAAACTCTGAGAAACAAAAGCATATTGATGTGGCTCAATTCTATTGTTTCTAAGTTATGAGCTAAAAACATCAATCAAACTTGACTTTGTCACTACATTCATAAAAATGTGATAAATTATTGTTCAAACATAAACTTTGTACACATCATTGAACCAGTCTTGAAATTCAAAATATACTGACAATAATAAAACTATATACAAGATCCATTTAAAAAAATTACGTTTACAATGAAATCTCTTGTTAACAAAAAACCTGTATATGCTTGCACCAAACATATCGTATATACAGGGTGTTAATAGAAATGCGGGATGGAATGACGAAATTGCATTTGAGGTTTCGTTTCTGAGTTATTAATTGTTAAAAATATTTATTTTATACCGAAGACGACTTGTTAAATACGTTTCATAATAACATTGTAATTTTTTTAAACATGACTACATATTTTTATTATTGCTCGGTTATTAAGCATTTCAAAACAAATTCAACGACATATTTGAAAGTTCTGTTTGAATAATAATTTAATTGAATATTGCTGGCAAATATCAAGTCCGCTTAGCTTGTTACCATAGCATATGATCCGCGAGAGAATATTCAAATAGTGATCCGAAAAATTATTGTTCAAACAGAACTTCCAAATGTGATGGTCAATTCGTCTTGAGCTGCTTAATAACTTGGCAATAATAAAAATATGCAGTTTCATTAAAAAAAATTATATTGTTACTAAAAACTCAGTAAATAACAATTAAAAAAGAAATTTAAATATTCTATTAAGTTTGTGACATGAAATCAAACAACTTTGGTATGCAACATGTTTGCATATTTTCAATGGTTAGAGAAATAATAGTACTTGTACATTTTACCGGAATTCCATGCGCTGTGCATAGGGGCGGCAACCAAATGTCTTTGAAGCTCCATCTTGGCTACAATTGTGAAATGACACTAATGAAATTTGGTATGCTTATCGAGAAATATTGAAGGGGAAACATATATATTTTTCAGACTTTTAAAAACGTGAGCATTGATTCGTTTTTGCAAAATAAAAATGTATTTATGATTTTCATATTGTAAAACAACGCGTACGACCAAATTAAAAATATATTTAGCAAGATGAATCTTTTGCGAAGCAAAGGAAAAAAAATGTTGTCTGCAAGTGTAATAGTTCCCGAGATAAAAATTCGTTTATACAGTCATGTACGTCTTATTATTGTAAATATACATTTATATATACATACGTATTGTAATATGTACTTTACACTACCCTGATATACAGCAACATACTAAAAGTACTGCTGAACTATTTCGCTTCCCTATTAAAAACAAAACAGATTTTGTAACTTTCCTTGATACCTTCTTTAACAGAAAGATCTCTATCGCTTGCTATGCTTTGTCACGTACGCGAACAACAAAGAAGGCTTCCTTTTTAACCCTTCACCCTTTCTTGGACGCTGGAATGAACAGGCTTAGATAAGGATCGTCACTTCCGTGCTGATGTAACGATCTAGATTTTCCAGGAATTACAGTTACAATGAGAGGATGCATACGTGACGTTTGGATCGATTTTCGGGTATAAGTGGTCCACACAACTTGTTCAACCTGAATAACTTCTAAAGTATGCATTGTATGAAATCATTTTTTATAGAAAAGTTGTATGGTTTGGAGGGATACATCATGTAATGCATATATTTTTTTTGTAAGTGGAGAAGTTTCGAAGATTAGAAGGTCAACTTCGTTTTTTAAAATGAAATGCTATATTTTTTATGCCAAAGTATCGAAGAGCGTTATGTTACAATCTTAGATGGCTGAAATGAGTGATTCGACACGTGACTATAATAATATATATTTAATTAACTATTACTATAATAATGACGTATAATGGCTACCTCCACGTTCGTTCTCGTTTACTATCTATCGCCAACTGCCGAATCATTTCCTTCCGCACATATCCGCGACTGGCAGTGCTCATGTCGGCATGTACGTAAGTAGGCACGCGGCAAGTTTGGTTGGTGTTATAAAACTGTTACAGTTAAATTGTGAGTAAAAAAGTACTGACCTTTATTAGTCATAAACCTAACAACTAGAAATCCCTATTTCACGTGTATTTCACGTACACGGTACAGGTACTTCAAGTACGTGTCATTTTAAGTACACGGATACACGTGTACTATTTCGTGTATATTTAAAGACACATGAATGTATTTATAATACCATAACGTATCTCCATTCTGGTTCCTATTCATTTTTAGAATACAGTTACTAATTTCCGAAAGCAAAATATAGTTATACAAAATAGATGCAAAACTAAATTTGAAAACCACTCACATTAATAAAGGGTGAAGCCGGATAAGGGGATAAAAGTGCCCTTAGACCGATTTGAATAAGCGTTATACTATTTGATAGTTTGTCAAGAAAAAACGGTTCGTGCCTTTATCTCGACCAGGAGGGTAGTAATAGGGAAAAATCGGATTACCGTTTTTGTTCTGTTTTTCCTATTTGTGAGCGTGCAAAAATTCTGTAAAATATATACAGTTCTTTCAGAAGTGCTGTTGGAACGGAACGGAAACGGTGGAATATCTCACGAAGGAGTAAAGTTATCAAAAAAATGTTCATACAAAAGTTGTTCGGTACAAAGGGGGACATTACGTGGTGTAAATAATTTTTCTGTAAGTGGAGTAGTGGGGGAGATATCAAAATCAAGTCAATTTTTTTAAACGGAACCCTGCATTTTTTTATTCATATTATGATAGTGTTTGTTGAGACGAATACAACGAACTGCCACATGATATCCACTTGTGGCGAAAATTGTTATTCAACCAATTACGAACTGATACGGCGTAATGAGGAGGGGCACCATCATGTTGAAACCAGAAATTTCGTCTTAACATCATTGGCATATCATCCAAAATATTTAAGAAATGTGTTTGCAAAAACGTTAAATACGCTTGAGAATTAACAATTCCTTCAAAAAAATAAGGTCCAATTATTTTTCTGTTATGTATTCCGCACCAGACCATAACAGATTGTCTGTATTGATTATTTGTTTCATTGTATGTTTCTATTTCGTCACGTAGACTTCTTAAAATCTTACTAATTTATCACTTCTACAGGGAATGATATCATGTGGCAGTTCATTGTATTCGTCTCAACAAACACTATCATAATATGAATAAAAAAATACAGAGTTTCATTTAAAAAAATTAAGTTGACTTTGATATCTACCCCACTACTACACTTACAGAAAAATTATTTATACCACGTAATGTTCCCCTTTGTACCAAACAACTTTTGTACGAACATTTTTTTGATAACTTTAATCCTTCGTGAGATATTCCACCGTTTCCAGTTAAACGAAACACCCTATATATTTTAAGTTGAAATATTTTTAAATAAACACTATTCATTGTCATTTAGTTACAAATTTGAAAAATATATAGCGAATGTAATAAAAAAAACTTACTATTTCCGTGAAAAAACGTCGAAAAAATCGAAATACGGTTTTCGATTTTTAAAACTACGGCATACCCTAACAAAAAATCTCGAGAAAATTTATGACAATACTTATAACTAGACTGCGGTTAACTATGCTAACTATGCTTTCCAAAATTAGCAACTGTATTCTAAAAATTAATAGGTACGAATCGAAATGCACCTTCAGACAGTATATTTAAATATACGTGAAATAGTACACGTGTACTTAAATACACGTGAAATAGTACACGTGTCCGGTGTACTTAAATGAGATACACGTGCACACATGTACACGTATGCTTTTAATACACGTTCAGAATCACGATCTTTATAATAACACTATCAACACCTAAAAATTTTTGCACTTTTCAATAAGCGTTTCTGATAGACCTTTATGAGCTGAATACGAATCTACAAACCGTTTCTTTCCAGCACGTCCAGTTCGTGCAATAATCTTTGAATAATTTTTTTTTTAATTAAAAATTTTCAACTGTGGAATTATGTTGTGCTTTTACAGTAATAGTTATGCAATTTTTTTTTATATTAAATAATTCTCTGGACTCTTCCGAACAAACGGATATAAATTATTATTATATTATAGACATCTAAATATGTTTAAATAATGTTTAAAGTGAAAAGGACACCGAAAACACACCAATTTTGGCTGATATTCTTTAATTTATTTCAAAAACTAAAGGTTTGCTCTATCGCGTACTATGGTTAGATTTTCTCCTAGACCTTTCTAGCACATGCGGTATTATTTCATAGGGGACTTTATTAGAAAATGTACCACTAAACGTTCGCCAAATGATGTGGTTACAGCTTGACAGGTGTCCAGCACATTATAC